TAAGCTCGAGCATGATTTGGAGGGTTGTTGAGATTAGGTATTCATTCAATTTTAAAGATGAACGTGAAATGATTAAACATCTACTGTCATTTTTCCAACTGTTGCTCAGAAAGTCAGTAAAGGCTTTTCTAGTGAAGATGAAGCCTCCGCTTATATATTGTGGAAAAATTGAACATGCACAGGATAAAAGAGTAATACCTAATAATTTATTGATTCAATTCATAGTGGAAAAATGAAGTATAGCTTGTGAAAATAGAGTGTGAAAATGGCGCCAACATGAAATTAAAGTTCAATCGAAAATATGCGCATAAACAGCGCCAAAATCGGAAAGTTTGATTTCCCGCGAAAGTCGAGTTACAGCGCCCGCATAAACCCGACGGCGAAAACTTGCATTACAAACTCGGGTTTCGTGAAACCTCGGTTTCGAGCCTCGCATAAACGTAGCTAATATAAAGGGACTCTAGTAGTGACGTATGATGTAGAAATGACGCGCAAGATGGCCACGAAAACTAACTCACTATTACCGTCTGCGTTTCTCCTTTGCTCTCCATGATTATTCCATGTTTGTGAGGTTATATACGATCCCAACTGCTTCTCGGCTGTTAATCTCGGTTTTCGAGGATTCCTTAGGCCCCAGCAGTAAATATTATTTTAAAAACATTTAGTGTAGTATGCTAAGAAGAGTGTAAAAGTTCATCCTCGCAACGGGAATTGTGAAAATGGCCGGAATCCCGAGGACTCACGAAGGTAAGTTGTGCCGTGTTCAGTTCTTCCATAACAAGCTCGGATTGCATCTCTTCACTTCATAAACTTCGCTGTAGAAGGTGTTCTTCCTCTCATGAGTACTATTTCATTATATCATACAATACCAACAATATGAAAGATTTAATAGCGGGAAATAACGCTGGTAGCTGGAAAAGAAATGGTAGTGATTTCTTCGCATCAGTTGGTACCTTTGAAAATATGTTAGAGGGACGGCTGTATCCAAATTTCAATCCCCGATTACTGATATGTCCCAAAGTTAATTCATTGGACTATGACTGTATAGGTAAAGTTTTATACCACTCTTTCCCTGGCCGCTGCTTATCCGAAGATCAATATTAGACTCTTCAAGCTAATGGCTGTCTAAGTTAAGTGCGAAAGGGCCTTATCCAAACGGCTGCTAAATCTAACAAATCTTTCAACTATCACTATCAACTGACCATTTGTTGTTCCTAAATTCTTCAGTGGTTTGTTATTGCCTAATTTCTGTGCACTGTGGGCCATAACATAGAATAAATAGACTACGTCCACAGAAGTGAAAGCTTCGTAAGAACCAACATTGACATTTTTCTCTCTAGGGTCAGTCAATCAATGGACGTATTGAAACCTGATTTGAGACTAACCTCTGTTTATAAAATCGGAACGAAACATAAAATTTTAGGCAACCTCATTGTACCCCTCCGGATTACTGGTAGATAAGTGTAAAAAATCTCTTTTTAATTCCTAAAAAATGTCTGTATCCGGTATTAATCGGCCTCTCCCATCAACATGCTGCAGATGCAAACAGTACTTACTGACCCAGTTTTGCTTTGATGACATAAAAATGGCAGTGGTTTTCGCTTCTGTTGACGTAGTCAATTTATTCTATGGCCATATTTCCAAAATTGAGAGACTAGTGTGATTACCTTGCTTGTACTTTTATCGAAAAAACTGTCAATCGGTGGCACTCCTTGTTTGCTCACTGCATAAAAGGTGCATAAATGTAAATAGATTTTCAAGAAGAATGCCATTTTTAGAGTAAAATTTTGCAGCAGGAATAGACTGATTTAGTGACTGCGTCACTCGATGTAATATCGGACTCTTGGTTCAAACCAAAACAAACTAACATAACCTCATGTGCAAATTCTCTATGAGTTAATTGTGCTAATTTATTAAAATTTAGTCCTTGACGGGTCATAAATCAACTGAAGACTCATTGAATATGAGAATTTTTGATTGCAAGAAATACTTGAACATATTTTACCACCACGGTGCAAAGGGCGCGAAAGAGCACGAAATGGCGCGAATCAGAAACAATGTTCTGCGTTTGTTAACATTTGATCCAAGGGTTCGATACTATATGAATGACGTAGCCGCTAGATCAGTCTATGGGAGCAGCAGCAAGAATAAATGGGAAAAAATCCATCAATTTGGCAGCAGTTTGGTAGACTCATGCTCACGCTTGTCTCCGACTGCATTGAAATCAACTGATCATTTGCAGCCTCACAAGTGAAGTCCTACAGCACTGCTGTTCTTTTGATGCAATTTTGTATTTTCCACGGACGTCTTTCTATGTTCATCCTGCATCTTTTCTAATCACTGCTAGTTCTCTGAAGATAAGAACTCAGCACATGAAGGGCCTAAAAATGTAATTAAAACAAGCATAAAAAAAAATAGTAACAAGGCTAAACCGCATAACAACACCTTTTGCAGTGACCTTTTTAAGGTATGTTTCTATATCACTGAAATTCTTCATGATTTCCTCATTTTAATCGCCTTGATTTGTAAATGGTTTCAGATATTGAAGCCCAAATTCGGGACATCCAAGCTCGGAAAAAAAACATAGCTCCGGAAAATGGTGAGAATGGTGATGAAGAAAAGCACGTTGGACTCGGAGCCAGTGGATTCTTTGATCGTGATATCTATGATGGAACTGGGAAATATGAAGGTTATGTCACATCCATAGCAGCCAATGATGAAGTGGATGTAAGCTCTTAATTTTTCACATTGTAGCTCTCATCTTATTGTTTAGACTGTAATGGTTTGTGAATAGATAGTCAGTTACCGAAAGACGATTTTAGTGATTTAATCAAAGTGCTCTGATTCTGAATGAATTGGAGTATTATTTTTTGAAGGGAAAAAATTTCTTCTCTCCATCATTTTTCCCCCTAGAAATGTATTTTGTGCATAAGTAATTTACTTCCCAAGACAGTGAGAGAACACTCAACAGGCATCTGCAGTGGCGAATAAAGAAATGGATCCTAAAACAGATTCAGAACTTACTTCAATACTTGATAAATCAGTTAACGAAACTATCACTAACAAGAGGAGCTTCCCAAGTGTAACCAGAATTTTGAGCTGAAATTTCGCCTGAAGATACTAAAAGTATATTAGGGACCCTGTATTAGTTTGTTTTTGCAAATGAGGTCAGGAAAGCCACCAAAAATAATGAGAAAGATGCGAGAAGACATGTGCGAAATTTGAACAGAGCCACTGTGCGGATGACTTATGGCGATACAAGATAAACATTGTTGACAGAAGCACTCCCCTCTCGTCGACTTGTATGGCCCAGCGGTAGCGACTCAGCTCATGAGTTAGACGTCACACAGTAATTACCAAAGGATTATTTTTAAAAAAAAAAACTAAAAAAATTCTGTTTGAAATCATGGGTCAATGCTGTAATGGAGGGGAAATCGGTGCATTTTTTTTTTCTTTATGATCCTTCAATTACTATGTTGAGTTTAAAACAAGAGTAAAACATCATGCTTTGGGAAAGATAAAGATCTCTTGTTTAATAGAGTGCAAAATCTGAACACGATTGATATTGCTGGGTTTAAAATCATCCTCCTTGATTTCTCATCAAAAATTTATGTAGACCTTGTCAGGTACATTGATATTCTCTGATCAAGTAATCTTTAAATGTCAATGGGTACACCCAGTTGTCAAGTGTTGGAAATTTCCTACAGATTCTTGCAAAGCAAGATTTTGAAAGAATTGAAGAATTTGTGATTCCTCTTTGTGTCATAATTCTTATCCTATCCAATGGTCCATGCTGCAAGTTATCTATTGTTGGTATTTGTTTGATCTTGAATTTCACATCCATTAAATTCGAATTTTTTTTTCCAGGAGGACGAGTACGATCCAGTTAGTTTTAGCAAACGCCCTGGTTACACAGCCCCAGCTGCGTTGCTAAACGACATCGTCCAGGTAATGCTTCATTGTTTCTTTATCCAATGGTGGCCCATTTAGGTGGACTTTCCAAGGAGCTTTTGTTTTTCCAAAGTCCTTGGATAGTCGAGTCTTTCTCAGCCTGTCACTTACAGTTCGGGTCACATTTTTAGTGTTCTTTTATTTTTAAGTATATAAAAAGGTCATACTTGATTTTGGGTCGCAGGATTTCTCTCTTTTGAAATTTTCATCATTTCCTAAGCACTGGAACGTGAATCTGCTCTAAGTTTGCTACATTTCAAACGGTTCAATTTCATACCGCACAGTTACAGTTACTGCACATTTTATACTCGAAGTTTATCTTATCGTGGCCAGAGCCAAAATTAGACTGCAAAATCCCTGATGATTAAATTTGTCCCTGCCCTCCAGCAGGCTGTACTTTGGCCAAGATGAGTTAATTTTAGATTATCAAATTGAATTTTTTTCACTATCCGACTATCCTGGAAATCTTTCAAAATTTTGATGGGAAGCATTTTTAAAGTCTCATAATCCTGTTTGACAAGAAAGGAGAAAGAAGGCCTAGTATGGAGGATTTCATCAATATGTAATTTATAAATTTATATGTCTCGGGCAATTTGTAAACAACTAGATCTTTTTAGGTCGATAGTTGGAGATCTCCAAAAGCACAAACTCTGCTTGTAGCGCCTTCATCTTCTCGTTATACTCTTTGCTTTGTCAAGTAGTTAGTTCAGTTGCCTATCCGACCAGAACCCAACTAAGGCCACTGATTGCACCACATGCATAAGGGAATGTGCCAGTGTAAACCATGCCTTCAAAGAGAAAGAAGCATCAATTTCAAATCATACAAAATACTTAGCTGTGTTTTTGTTCCTGCATCTCTCAATTTTACATATTTCTTCTGTAATATGACCTTGAGCCCTGCGAATTGCCAGTAAGTGCCAATAGCCTGTGGTAGCTCTAAATACAAAGATATTCAAGCTCAATATTAGTCAAAAGAGTAAAAAATCTAAAGTAAAATTTATGACAGAAACAATGGGTGAGAGCCGAAAGTGGCTACTATCTGTTGTAGAAGATTTAAGTTGCAAAGGTGCAACTAAAGTGCAAAGGTGGAGAATCATTGAATGAATAGAGAAGTAACAATCATTGATTCCATAGCCTTTGAAAATGTAATGAACCCTTGTAATTTCCTTACATAGAGACTAAAGGTTCCACCTTTTTTGCACTTTCATTACCTATTAGTGTAGCCTTAGTTTGTTCCAAGTCATCTAAAATAAAAATTTTATTTTTTAGAGCGAAAAAGATTATGACCCGTTTGCAGACAGGCGGCAAAAAACAGTCGCAGAAAAAGAAGATGAATACCGAGCGATGCGGCGTAGGATGATCATCTCTCCAGAGCGAATTGATCCATTTGCTGAAGGTGGGTTTCAAGTTCTTCCTTTTTACTTTAATATATGCTGTATGTATGTATAGATAAGCTTAGTTATTTTTTGTGGTAGGAGGACCAACTTGGATTATTCAAAATACTTTTGGATTTGGAGAAATCAAGAATTTGAAATTTGAGAATCTCAAGTTGGTTGACCATGTTTCTACTCTCTGCACAATACGCAGCAATTACTTAATAGAATAAGAGACAAAAGAAGAAGAAAAAACCTTTTTTTCCTTCTTTTTTTATGTACCTATGTACATATGGAGGAGAGAGGGGAAGATGCCATGATAAATAAACCACGACTTTTTAGCTATTCAAAGAGTTCATTCCAATACTGAGTTATTTGTTTAATCAATTCCGTTTCGTTTATGAGCTTTCCACTTGACTATCCTTCCAATTAATATTTTTACTTCTATCTTAGTGATAAATTGCATCACCAATTTCATTTGGAATTTCCTTTGCTTTTTGCTGTATTTTTCTTCCTCTGTCGGAAGCCAATTAGATTCCTTGTTATGTTAATTAGACAACAAAAATACTCTCAGTTGGGCTTATTTGATTAAAACACTTTTAAAACACTGCCTTATCAAACACTCCAAATCTTATGACAATTTTCCCCTCAGAATATCAAGAATGGTTACATTTCTGGTGATAAACTGATTTATTTTGTCTTTCAATTTTCCCGTTTCTCTTGTTACTTGTTGTTCTGTCAAAAAATCTTGCATCAAAGAACATCATCAGAATCTCTGCTTACCCCCCTGGTTTGCCAAAAAAAACCAATTTGGTTACTTTTTAAATCATTTGCCTCCATTTCTTTGTCTAATCTTTGTTTTATTTCTTTTCTTTTTTTCAGGTGGGAAAACACCAGACCTTGGATCTCGTACCTACACAGATATTATGAAAGAACAGCTACTCAGAGGAGAAGAGACCGAGGTAATCTCCCACCTTTTATATTCTCTGTGTTGTTGCCTAAATCACCTCTGTTTTATGTCTCCCCTATGTTTGTAAAAGACAGAAGCAGATAAATCAATTTATCTATTTGTTTATCCTATCCTATGGGTTAAAATTGATTTTCAGTTCACTTTATTTTAGATTTTTCACTTCTTAGAGTTTTCGTATGTATATGAACCCATAATTAAATCTGATCATTTTTAACAAGTAGGGCAGCCTGGCACTAAAAGGTCTTCTCGAATTCAGCACTTGGTTACATTCGAGGAGACGGCTTTAATACATTTTTCAAACAGTAAATTGGCAGAATTATGGTCATGGTTGTAAGAGTTCATTTTTGCCCACAAAATACTTGAAGGTATTGTACGTATTTAAAAGTTTTCAAAAAAGGAGAAATGGGTAAAAGTTAGATTCTCACTTGTGAGTCAGTATATAAAAAAAAATTAAATTTTTGAAGGATCAATAGGGTTTCATTGTAAGTAGCCTATTTTTGCCAAAGTTCAGTATTATCAATCTAAAGCTTCTCAAAACTGCAGCATTGTCACTATTTTATTATAGGGTCATTCAGGAAAAAGTGGATCTCGGCAGAAAATGGTCTTCATTTATTTTCTCTGGCAGTAACTCTGATGAAAACTTTGAAAAATCGCACAACATTGTGATCTCTTGAAAATAATTAACACAAAATTTCTTGAGCAAATTGGATCAAATCACAAAGAAATATTCTAAAATAAGTTGAAATTTAAATTTTTCTATCTAATTCATCGCAAAAATAGACTCAACACTAGCTGGAAACACATGAAACTTTTTTAACTTTTTTTTTTGGGACAGAAGCTTTGTTCAAATGCTCTTTTTAAAACTTGACTTAAAACTGGGCAATGAGGAAATTTTTTACTGTCTAAAACTTAATTGAAACTTCCAATATTGCATGGGTCCCACTTTTCTTCTTAGTTTTTTGCTTCTTATATGACTAATTTTGCTTTCACACCCCATACTCTAGGCCTCTAACTAAAAATGCAGGTTTGTATCTTTGCTAGGTGAGCAGATTTTTCCAAGTTTTAACTGGGAAAAAAGAAGAAAAAGAAGAAAGGTATTTCGCACATCAAAATTGGTTAAAATTGAAAAAAAAGTAGTCGACATTGAAGTATTAAGTGATCTTGTTTTATTGAACTCATTTCGAAGATTTATTCAAAAGTAGTGATTTAAAATTCTTGTTTAAGGTGTACGAATGTTCCACCACTCACCCTAGAGTGACCCTTTATCAACAGGTAAATTGTACCTGTAATCATAATGCAGATAATTGTCATTAATGTACCTTTATTTTGGTTCCAGTTGAAAAAGAAGCTAATCGAGAAGTCTAAGGAGGGTACCTTGAAGCCAGTAAGCACCAATGGAGACGCTGCAAAACCAGCCCCGAAGAAACGTGGACGATGGGATCAGACCGGAGACGGAGAAGTCATACCTGCAAAAAAGAAAGACCTTGGATGGGATAAAGAAGAAGTGAGTTTTATTACTTTGAAATAATATTTCTTAGCTTAATCTCTCTCCGATTTGGACCATTTATGCTAAAAAGAACCATGTTGTTTCCAAATGCTATGCATACAGTTCCTCTAGGTTTAATTTATCTTTCTGTAGTTCCTTTAAGCATAATTACGTCCATAAGTGATCATCAATTTAATAAACCAAAGTGTAGTAAGACCTTGATTGATCGGATCCAAAATTGTTGGATTCCATGTTAGATTTAACAGATCGATTTTTTGGTCTCCTCACAGGTACCCATCAGATAAGTGTCAGAATCTCAAGTATTATTGGATTGAAAACTATAATCAGTTCCAATTCTACTGATTTGATTTCTGATAGCTTTATTCTTTAATCTAAAATCTTTTACCATAAATGCAGATCTTAGCTGCCATAAACCCCAAATTTTTGGGCAATATTATTTTCTAAGAAATCGGCAGGTGATGGAAAAAACCAAGGTCATTTTCAGCCCAGCAGTGAAATTTAGTAGAAACTGTCCTATGGAACGCCTGGGTAAAATGATTTCTTTTCACTTTAGACTTAGAACAGTTAGATCAGTCATAGTGGTGTATATATGAGCGAATCATGCCGTTTTAAGAGGAGGAATCTATACATCAGGGACAGGATGAACAATTTTTTAGGCATGTTGTGCTTATTTTCCCATTTATTTTTGGCTGTCAAATTTTGAAATGACCTGGATTTTTTTTCACGCGCCAGTTTTCAGGTTAATGGTGTCTTCTGTAGAAAAGCGAATTATTTCAAGAAAATCTCAGTCATTTCAGAAAAACATGGACTTTTCAGGAAATTGGTCGGTGATAGAGAAATGCCAAGGTTATGCATTTTTTAACTCAGCGCTAAAAAATTTTTGGGAACTGCCCATCTCATGCCGAGCATTTGTTTTAAAAAATGAATTTTGTAAACCTACGTTATTTATTTTCTTGAATATATAAAATGATTTGTACATTTTTGTTGCTAGGCATCAGCAACTCCTGCAAGCACAAGATGGGATGCGACTCCAGGTCATGCTGGAAGTGAAACTCCAGGAGCAACACCAAGCACTAGGATATGGGAAGCAACACCTGGACATGCAACTCCTGGTCAAGCGACCCCAGGCCGAGAAACACCATTACATGGAGAGAAAGTTTCGGCAAGAAGGAATCGATGGGATGAAACTCCAAAAACCGAAAGAGAAACCCCTGGGCATAGCGGGTGGGCAGAAACTCCGAGAACAGATAGAACTGGTGATTTAATCCAAGACACGCCAACGCCAAGTGCCAGCAAAAGAAGATCAAGATGGGATGAGACTCCTTCTGCCCAAATGACACCATCAATGACTCCGTCTGGAGGCATGACACCATCAACTCCTATTACACCCGCCGGGACTCCGTCAATGATGACTCCATCTGGTGTAACTCCTACCGGTCAAAAAGCTATGGGTATGGCGACACCAACCCCAGGTCATCTAATGACCATGACACCGGAGCAGCTTCAAGCCTATCGTTGGGAGCGAGAGATAGACGAGAGAAATCGGCCACTAACAGATGACGAATTAGACGCCATGTTTCCTCCTGGCTATAAAGTTCTTCAGCCTCCGGTTGGCTACATTCCAATTCGAACTCCTGCACGAAAGCTAACTGCTACACCAACACCAATCGCTGGGACACCGACTGGGTTCTTCATGCAGAGTGAATCCGAAAAATCTGCTAAATTTGTTGACAATCAGCCAAAAGGCAACTTGCCATTCATGAAACCGGAAGATGCGCAGTATTTTGATAAACTTCTTGTTGATGTTGATGAAGAATCCCTCAGTCCTGAAGAACAGAAGGAGAGAAAGATAATGAAATTACTTTTAAAGATTAAAAACGGCACACCGCCGATGAGGAAAGCTGCCCTGAGACAAATTACCGATAAAGCTAGAGAATTTGGTGCAGGGCCATTATTCAATCAAATTTTACCACTCCTCATGTCCCCCACTTTAGAAGATCAAGAAAGACATTTGCTGGTGAAAGTTATAGACCGTATTTTGTACAAGCTAGATGATTTGGTCAGGCCGTACGTCCACAAAATATTAGTTGTCATTGAGCCTCTGTTGATTGATGAAGATTATTATGCTCGTGTTGAAGGACGTGAAATCATTTCTAATCTGGCAAAAGCAGCAGGTTTGGCAACAATGATTTCCACAATGAGACCAGATATTGACAATATTGATGAGTATGTCCGAAATACCACTGCTCGTGCTTTTGCTGTTGTTGCATCTGCCTTGGGTATTCCGTCTTTGTTGCCTTTTCTCAAAGCTGTATGTCGTTCCAAAAAATCTTGGCAAGCTAGACATACTGGAATAAAAATTGTTCAGCAAATTGCCATTTTGATGGGTTGTGCTATTTTACCTCATTTAAAATCATTGGTGGAAATTATTGAACATGGTCTGGTTGATGAACAGCAGAAGGTGAGAACCATCACTGCTCTGGCTGTTGCTGCCCTTGCTGAAGCTGCAACCCCTTACGGTATTGAAAGTTTTGATTCAGTCCTTAAACCGCTCTGGAAAGGTATCAGAACTCACAGAGGTAAAGGTCTTGCTGCTTTCTTGAAGGCTATCGGTTACCTTATTCCTTTGATGGACGCAGAATATGCAAACTATTATACTCGTGAAGTGATGTTAATTCTTATCCGTGAGTTCCAGTCTCCAGATGAAGAGATGAAGAAAATCGTTTTAAAAGTAGTGAAACAGTGTTGTGGTACTGATGGTGTGGAAGCTCAGTACATCAAAGATGAGATTTTACCACACTTTTTCAAACATTTCTGGAATCATCGAATGGCTTTAGATCGTAGAAATTACAGGCAACTAGTAGATACAACTGTGGAAATCGCAAACAAAGTTGGAGCATCTGAAATAATTAACAGAGTTGTGGACGATTTGAAAGATGAAAATGAGCAGTACCGTAAAATGGTGATGGAGTCAATAGAAAAAATTATGGGGAATCTAGGAGCTGCAGATATTGACTCAAGGCTCGAAGAGCAGCTTATTGATGGTATTCTCTATGCGTTCCAAGAGCAAACGACTGAAGACGTCGTCATGTTGAACGGTTTCGGCACAATCGTGAATCAGTTGGGAAAGAGAGTGAAACCGTATTTGCCACAGATTTGTGGTACTATTTTATGGCGGTTAAATAACAAATCCGCCAAAGTTCGACAACAGGCTGCTGATCTGATCTCACGAATCGCAGTTGTGATGAAGATATGTCAAGAAGAGAAGTTGATGGGTCATTTAGGTGTTGTACTTTATGAGTATCTCGGAGAAGAGTATCCTGAAGTGTTAGGTTCTATTTTGGGTGCGTTAAAGGCTATCGTGAATGTAATTGGTATGACAAAGATGACACCACCAATCAAAGATCTCTTACCAAGACTTACACCTATCTTGAAAAATCGTCATGAAAAGGTTCAAGAGAACTGCATTGATTTAGTTGGTCGAATTGCTGACCGTGGTCCCGAATATGTTTCTGCTCGAGAATGGATGAGAATTTGTTTCGAGCTGCTGGAATTACTGAAGGCTCACAAAAAAGCCATCAGGAGAGCCACTGTCAATACTTTTGGTTACATCGCCAAAGCTATTGGGTAAGATATTCAATGATATCTTCTGTTGCTTTTTTTATTTTATGTTTTTTAAAAATCTGTGTCGGAGAAAATTGAAATCAAAGACTCGTTTTGACTCTGGAATACATTCCACAGTCACTAAAGGTCACTAATGAGTGTTACCAAGTAATGCCATCAGTCAAGAAAGAAACAACCACCCCAGTGGTATTTCAATAAACGGTACAGGCTCGAATTCATGGTATTGTTCTACTTATTGAATTTCTCAGTATCAGTGATTATAGGATTAAGCCGACTGCTTGCACAGCAAATGGGGACCTGCAAGTGGCACATCGGTGCTGCTGTGTAGAGTGTTGATCACTGCAAACTGCGCCGCGCTGCGCAGTTTGCACAATCACGGATGTAACGGATGAGCCACTTGCTGTGTGTGCAGTTGGCTCTTGTCAGATTATTTTCCAAAATATTATAAACGAATTCATCGGAAATTTGCTGCTCAAAGATGTATGAAAGTGGTAAATATGGGATCTTAACTAAATCCTGTAATCAGTTCGTTCTCTCAGAAATTTTGAAACCCAAAAATTATCTATAAAAGTTGATCAGTCAAAGCCAAATAAGGAAGGTAATAGGGAATTTCTGGACTTAGAACTCAATTTATTGTTAGTTGATGCACTGGTTGGTTTATGAAAGAGGATAGTCAGAGAGAAAGGGGAAATGAGTTCATCAATCCACTTGTCATGAAAGACACTTCAGTTTTTTCCTTGCACTATTTGTAACTTATCGCCAGATCAAGAAAACATAAATAATGGGAGCTGTTAGTTTTGTCTTCGAAGTTTTGTTGGACTTAGTATCTTACTACATTGTTTCAAAATCTCATAAGTAATGACAAGAATACTCATAATTGTAAGGGATTAGTCAACTTTCTTTCATATAAAATAATCCAATGAACATGAATGTCTGCTTTCCTTTTCAGTCCTCACGATGTTCTCGCAACACTCCTAAATAATCTAAAAGTTCAGGAAAGGCAAAATCGTGTATGCACAACAGTTGCTATTGCTATTGTCGCTGAAACGTGCTCTCCATTCACCGTGCTGCCAGCTTTGATGAATGAATACAGAGTTCCCGAGTTGAATGTCCAAAATGGTGTCCTCAAATCTTTATCATTTCTGTTTGAGTACATCGGTGAAATGGGCAAAGACTACATTTATGCTGTCACTCCCCTTTTGGAGGATGCATTAATGGATCGGTAAGTTTTTCCCTATTTTTCTTTTTTCCTCCTTAAGGGTATTTCAATGGCTCCTTAACATCAGTCACTTTAATTACTTTGCCAAACCCAGGGGTGCGGAAATGGTTTTTCTTCAAAAATTTTCTCAGGAAATGAGGGAAAACTACAAAGATATCATGGTTACGGAGGGAGGCTTGGCACATCAAAAATACTTGAGTGTGTTGCCATTACTCGCAGATTTTTGAGGTGATTTACAGTGTTGCTGTGGGTCAAGTCAGCAGGGTCATCCTGAAGTGCTGCATCACCCCTGTAACTTTTTTCTAGCTCAACTGTCGAGTTCAAACCGTTCAAATTTTTGTAAATGAAAGTGGACTGCATTTTGGCCTCCAAAATGTTTTGGAGGACCCATCGAAACGGGGGCATGAACCCCAAATTGTTTTCTAAATGACAATTCCTTCAGGGGCATGTCGAAAGAAAATTTTTGGTACGAAGTTCAGGTCTTCTCCTATTATTACCATTCACATCCTCTGCAATCCATGTCTTCTAAAAATACGCCCAAAAAAAGAAAAAGAGAAAAAGAAAAGAAAATGATAATATTGAAATTGAGAAACGAACTGAGGAGTTTCTCATAAAGATAAAACCAGTCAGACACCAATCAGCAGAATCTATCTGTTGAGGAAAGTTTGAAAATCACCAAAATGTCCACTATCATATATGTATGAGGGTGAAACTAGGTTGACTACTTTACTTGGTGAGAACTTTTCTCAAAGTTGTCACAGATATACGAACCGAAAGAGTCGAAAACAAACGAAACTAACGGAAAAAACCGAGGTAACAAACTGTGAGCTAATTAAATGAGAAAACAGAGAAGAATCGGAAAATTAAAAAACTCAAACTCACAAAATAAAATTAAAAAGCCGACGCGTTTCGGGACACCTCGGTCCCTTCTTCAAGGCTAAATTCCGACTGCATGTTGTTGTTTACATCCTGCTTGGTGTGGAATCTATCAGTGCTGCCAATATATTGCATATATTGCCGATATATTGCTTACAGATATCTTTCATTGCTAATGAATTTTTGTTCTATTTTTTACAGAGATTTAGTTCATAGACAGACAGCTTGCTCTGCTATAAAGCACATGGCCCTAGGTGTCTATGGCTTTGGCTGTGAAGACGCCCTGATTCACTTGTTGAATTACGTCTGGCCAAATATTTTTGAAACATCCCCGCATTTAGTTCAAACTTTCATGGATTCAATTGAAGGATTAAGAGTTGCTCTAGGACCAATTAAAATTCTTCAGTACACTCTCCAAGTAAGTTAATAAAAATGCGTGTGTCTTAATTTTATTTTGCTCAACTTAAGTATTTAATTTGACCAAAATCAGTAACCTTAGGTTCTTTTGAATAGCCAGGCTCTAATAATGGATATAATTGAAGTGCCTAAAAGAAGCTCATTAAGTGTTTCTGAAGTGACCATTACAGTCTTGAGTTGAAATAATCCATCATGGTTAAAAAATGCCTGTACTTTGAAAATGTTGATGTGTATTCGCTCAAAGATTATTTCCTGCAGTCCCTAATTTTACTCAGACTAAAATTAAACTGAGTAATGCCCCATTTATTCGAAGTTCTCTCAGCAGGTGAACATATTAATCATTTATACTAGCCAACAAATTATGGCCCGTTTTAGTTGAGGATTTCAGAAAAATACGATGAAATTTAAAATGACAGTAGTCACTAGATTTTAGTTTTACAAATAAGAGAAAAGCTCACCGTCATTCCCACTTCTATTTAAATTTCAAAGTACATAGTCCTGTTTTTGTAGCGACACTGGCAACCAACAGAAGGCGCAGCTTCATTTTTAGCTGATAGCGCTTCATTTTTATATAATTGGTTAAAATCTCCGTCAAAATCATCAGTCTAACCATGCTCTATTGATCACTGAAAAATTTCAACAATATTGATCTAGAGTGTGTGTTGTGTACCTTAAGATAGATGCACATCAGGCTTCGCTGTTTTCACTTCAGTTAATATTTGAAAGTTTCCTTCTAAAAGAAAATTGCCTTGCTCCAAATATTATACAGAATTCTATGTGTTCGGTTTATGTTACTGTCAATAATGCCTTCGTTTATTTCTTCTTTTTTTGCAGGGTCTGTTCCATCCTTCCAGAAAAGTGCGTGATGTGTACTGGAAAATTTACAATTCACTATACATTGGTGGACAAGATTCGCTTGTTGCTGGCTATCCAAGGATACCTAACGATCCAAAAAATCAGTACATTAGATATGAATTAGATTATGTCCTTTGAATTTCTCAATTTCATCAGTTTTTTAAAAAAGTTTGAGGAGCGTTAAAATTTTTTCATTCTGTCGTTTTGCGCTCAATCTTGCTCTGAATTGTCTTCTCTTAAACAAGGGCAGATTTACATGTCCATGGGCCACCTGTATTTTGTCCCTTCTGAATTTGAAAAGTGCTGACCTTTTATTTTTATTTATTTTTTAAATGCTTTTTAATTTTGTGTGATTTCACTTTGCAGTATTAAAAGGTTAAAATAATAATAAATAAATAAAAAGTCATCACTTCTGAAATCTGTCCTCTCACCTTTACCACTCCCCAACTTTTGCTGCTGTTGGCCGTGGTTCATGTTGCCCATACCTTGATCTAGCCTTGCACTTACAGAACTTTTCTGAACCAGAATTCTGTTTTTAAGTGAACCTCAATTAATTCAAACTAAGAGTTTACAGAGTTATAGTATATGGAGGGAGCTGTTATCGTTTCTAAGCGTTCACAACCAAATGCTGGTTTCATAACTTTCTAAGAATTTTTAGGAAAAGAGCGTTATTTTCTCATTAAAGTAAAGCTTCTGGCACTCTAATAATGATTCTAACTTATCATGATTTCTCAAATGTATGATCTCTTTGACTGAAACACATTAAAAATACAGCTTTTTTGAGCGTGCCTTAATAAATAAGCAGTTTTGTTTTAACTATCAAATGGTTGAAGAATCATGCTTTGATTTTAATCGCATTTGAAAGTAGACTCAAAAATATAGCAGGACGTATATTTACTAAGTGCTTTTATGATAGTCAAAAAAAAGGGGGGGGGGGCAACTCCACGTGACCTCTGTCCAAAAACAGATAGAAAGTAACAATGCATGCAAACTCACCTCTTCCAATGAAAGTTGGTCGGACAGAAATGTGTCACAAAATGTGTTCACCTTGATTCTACTCAGAGATTTTTGAAAAGCATGTGATTTTCCTTATTTGTGAGCAAAGAATCAGAGGATTAGCATGCATATCATTGTGTTGAAAAACTTACTTTGGTATTCCGATGTATTATTGAGTCTACTTTTAAATTCAATAAAAATCAAGGTTTTATCTTTGACTGTTCAAAAGTTATCGCCAAAAAAGCTGTTCCCTTCTTTGAAGCCCTTGTGACTTAGTGGAAGATTACGTCATGCTTGAATTAAATCCCTGTAAAGTTTCCTATGTATTAATCAAACAGAAATTTTTTACAATGAGTATATTTCAGGAAAAAATTCCACTTTTTTCAGTCTCTCAGTTTTGTAATGGTCTACTGCTCTCTTGTAACCCGATGCCCATGAAACAGGATTGCTTCATTTTCCCATTTTCCTCTTTGTCTATTGCTTTGTCCATCAATTTTAATAATCAGCCCAATACATCAATCAATGAGTGAATAATTGTGATGTTGAAATCAAAAAGAAATTTGATGGTAGGCACAGAGAAAATACAAGAAGTGGGGGCAAGGCATTCACCTTTAGATTCAGTCTTGTTGTAGAAATGTTCATCGGACCATCAGCCAATTAGAATGAAACTACAGCAAATCGAAGACACTGCTTCATGTTGTACATTACTCAACTGTGTCACAAACCTCATTAGACCTGCGGTTGCTTGTTGTAACATGGAAACATAGATTCCTTTGCTAGCCAACACCCTCGGTATTTTCTCTACTAAAGGAAGAGATGAAGCATTGGCTTGATTCTCCCATGAGGTTACGGTTTAAAAGTCAGCCAGATTATTAAGTGTGTCAGGGTTGTCACAGTCAAGGAAAACCGGGAAATGCCAGGAAAAATGACGAAAATGTCAGGGAAAATGTGTTAAATCACCTTCATTTGCTTTCTAGAACGGGTTTGAGGTTTCGAACAACAAAATTTGCCTGAAAACTGTTTTCAATTATGCCTTCTTAACCATCCGTCACATCTTTAAGTGTCAGGGAATTCCACCAAAATCTGTCAGGGAAATGTCGGGGAATTTCATTTTCTAAATTCTGTGGCAACCCTGGTGTGTTTCAAAGTATTCTTAAATTTGTATACAACTATGTTCAACTCAAAAACGTTTTTTGGCTCAAAGAGTGGTCTTCTGTAGCATGGTTGAGTAGAGCATTAAGTTTTTTTTCTTGCTTTAAGTGATGACTAAAATGCACAGGTACCGTCTCGGGTATTGAACATACTTTTCATATTATCCAGTAGCTGTTATTCAATAAGAATCAATGCAGGCTAGCTAATACCCAAATCTATTAAATTCTACCATTCAAGTCAGTTAATTTTCACGGTGGAAAGATACCCATTGCATTTCTGGGTTTTTAATGTGTCCTTGTAAAAAAATGTGTAAAGAAGAAAATTGTAAATAACTTGTACAGTACATTATAATACATTTTGTGACTAATACCTTAGATTTTAGCGTTCATTTACTCTGTATTCCATCCTCAACTTCCTTTGTCCTCTGATTTACATTGAGAAAAATCTCTTTATCGTAAGTTCAGAAATCATCGATCCAAGTAAAACACAAGATCTGTTCAGAAAGAACATTTTTTGTTTTTTCTTCCAAGCTCGTCGGTAACTTGAATGACATGCATTATTAAATGGTCATCCCAATTTCCCGATACTTTTTTTCATGAGAAACTCAGATCCTGTCTATGGGTAGCCTGTACGTAGCCATAAGAGCAGTAGCAGCGCTTTGAATTTCAGTCTGTAGACGGCCTCTGTGCGATTTTTCGAACAGTACTTATTAATTTTTAAAAATTGGTCAAAATTGAACTTTAATCATGAATACCTACCTCGAATTTTCGATTGATCCCTGGTTCGAACGAACATTCTACTTTTTTCATCCTCTTTCAACCATGTGTCACCAAAAGAGTGTTGCTTTTTGAAACTTTCCAGTTGCCCCCGCCTCCTTGGGAAGTCCCAAAAATGTGCCCCTTGCAATGAACAATGGTCCAAACTGGAACCTTTTATCTCTATTTGTTCGAAAGTCCCAGACAGCGAACCCCAGTTACTTCAGGCGATTTAGCCACACCTTAATGAAAAAGTCTGAAAACCTGCGTATAAAAATGTGTCGAGTACCTACGAAATTTTTGAACGACATGCCCCCCCCCCCCCCCNGGGGGGGGGGGGGGGGGGGGAGGGAAATCTTGACGACCTGGAGGCGAAAATTACGTAAATTCGGCCATGCTCCGAAGTTCGAATAGTTTCTCGCTTAATTTCCGCATTCAACGGTGCGAGCATTACGCAGCTTACGTGCAATACGTCAGTAATTTGAAACTGGTGAAAAACCAAGATTTTCTCTCATTTCGACTTGATACCACATCAAATACTCAATCGGAGTTTGAATATTGCGCGCTTGATTTTCGCTGCAACAACATCTACATTCAAATGTTCGTAATTTGAGACAGGTGGAAACCCAAGATTTTCCTTCGTTTTCCCGTGATACCACATAACATACGTCCACCGGGATCTACGCTCCCCAGTACCTACGTTCGTTGCCTATGCAGTGAAATTGAAGGCGGATCACAAGTCAACGATATCTTCCAAACAGTGTACGCATTGTCGGCATTTTCTATTCGCGCTTCAAGCGCTCGATTCATCGAAGTTAATGTGTATAACCCGTAAACTGTAAAGAAATATGAGCTACCTACTACAATAACTTTATTAAGCGTCATTTCAAACTTTGATCTCTAACATTCTCATCATTTTTCCCCCTTTCTTCAACCGCATTCTTCTTTTCTCTTCTCTCTTTCCACCGTCTCTTTTTCCTCTTCCCTTTTTTTCTCCTCTCGTTCTAACGCCTCTGTTGTGATGGCGCCTACTGCATCCGTTCTTGACGCGCCGCGCCACCCTTAGTTCGGCCATCAGCACCTAAATGGCGCACTCGGACCAGCCGCTGCTTTGTAGGTGATGGTTTGTGGATATTATTCCTTAAATTTTGCGCCATACTTCAAGAATTGTTGATTTTTTCATGCCTTCTCAATAGTATATCATGAATTGAAGAGGGGGGAGGGGAGCTGGGATCTGTGTAGCCTCGGGGCTTCCCTCCCACCTTAGGAGGGAAAGGGTAGCAAAAAGTAGTATCCTCTGTTCTAGCACCCTCAAAGTTTCAACTCCTATCATAAAAAAGTTATCGAGGTGGTAAGTACGTGACTCGCGCTTGGATCACTTACGTACAATAGTTATAACAAGTGAAGTGAATCAAACCTTTCGCAACATAAAACTACAGTTAAAATTATCGACAATATAAGGCTTGTTGGGATTCACAGATTTTATATTTGTCAAAAATTTAAATCGAAACCGGTATCGCAATAGGTTGTCCCGTCTCTAGATTTGGCCCCTTAAAGACATGGTATTCTTTCGGAGATTATATACAGAGCATTCCTAGGCCCCCATCAAGGAAGGAGGGAATTGGGGGCGAACCGTTTTGAAAGTTTCATCGGATCGCATTAAATTTTTTTCTTATGAAGATCTCGGAAAATCTTAGTTATGGCCTGATGGAAAGTTGAAAAACTTTAGTTTCGTGTCAATTCATGGCAATTTTCAGATTTTCTAGGGTGAGCATGTAACGAGTGTAAGTAATTCTCCAACGCGCGGTTTCCGGTGTTTTATGAAAAATCGAGCGTACCTAATTAAGTAGAATCTGCAAAAAACTAGTTTTTGTTTTGACGAATAAGTCAGTAGCGCACTGTCGAAACATGGCAAAAGTTTAAATTTTTGCACATAAATATTTTAAAAATTGCCATCAATGAGCACAAAACTGAACTTCATTTATTTTTTTTTTTTCTGGCTTAAGTATCTGCAGATACATTTTTTTGTAAAAAAAAAAAAAAAAAAAAAAAAAAAAAAAAAAAAAAAAATCCAATTACTTAATGAACTGTTTAAAAGTTGCAGGCAATCGAAGGTTTTGCCTTTGATCCATCGCCCGCTGGAGTGGCCTGAAATTCTGGGCAAAACCGAGAGGGGTGGGCTGCCCCCTAGCAATCTACGTGGTCCTTCCCAAGAAATGTGAAGGATTTTGCTTGGTAAGAGCGCATCTCCGGGAAATTTGACCCTGCTCAACAGTTAAAATTGATTTTTTACAGCTGTGGAGTTTTCATAGATTGCTGAAAAATTTTGATCAATGTATTTCCGATTCCATGGCATTGCTCATGATTTCGAGTCGCTGGAACCATCTGATTTGGAGTAGTAAAAGCACAAAATCCACCTATTTTTTGGGGACAGCTTCGCGGCGGGGATGTTTCGATATGCGTCCAGAGCGGGGTTGATTCCTCTTTCCTCAAAATTCGTTGTGGGTGGCCTCCGAAACCCCCATTGTGCTGGGGAGGGGGTGGTATTCGCGTCGAGGGTGTTTCAAAATGCATCTCGAACGGGGTTAATTCCGAGAGTGGCTCCCCAAACCCCCATGGCGCTGGGTGCTGTTCGCATACCCCCTCGTGGGTTGGGTACGGGGCGAGTAATTAGACCAAAACCCCCCGAAAAAATGCTCTAGCACCGCCGTCTATGTATTTCGGCTGCGAAGATTTAACATAGCTTTCATAATGCGTGGGTAGGCAATTTTTGTTTCATCAGGTTTCAATGGAGGCAATATTGGTCCTGCCCAACAGCCCGACTCCCAGCCTAGCGCCATACGTTTATCTCCGCCCGAATAATCGAAAGAATGCCGAAAGCCGAGGGGTAGCGGGCAGACGGCACGGCGAGCGTGGTACCCAGGGACAGGAGCACCGATGGTGTGGTCAAGAAAGGTATTTCGAATTTTCTTGCTGTAAGTCACACTGCCTTAGGCCGACACACAATTTACGATGCATATTTTTAAAGAAGGCAAGGCATTCTCCTCTCCTCTCGAACAGAGGGGAATCGGTCATGCCGGGCGCAGAGCATAGCGACAAGAGGGGAAGACGACGGCGTCACACTGTCTGGCTCGCCGTGTTAGATTTATCTTTGGCACATGTTCGCAGCGTTGCCTCTGTTTCAAGGCCAAACTTCATGCGAAAGACACGTCTCGAAGACAGGCTAAACTCGGCCAAATCAACCTAAACTTATCTTACTTGCTCAAAGTCATACATAATTATCAACTTTCAGCTAAATCTTGCGTAAAGAAATCGCAAATTCAATTCACCAGACCAAATTCTGAAATAACTGCCAATTCGGCAACAAAGTAAAGGTAAAAACTTGTTCTTCCGTTGATATTCATAAATGCTGGCCTGTAGGCGAGTTTTATCTACTGGCGTCGGGCGTTTGAATAGGCTTCCCATGCGACTTGGGGTGCTTATCGCTGATTAAGCGCAGGAAAAGTTAGAGAAGTCGTGGAATATGATAAAGTATGGGCTAAAGAGTACATATACAATGAAATAAAGGCCGTGGCGACGAAAATAGGCAAAATATCAAGCGTAAAAATAGGCTCATCCGTTGAGTGGTGGAGATCAACGGTGGCATCAGAACGACGAAGCGAGCGCTAAAACCGAGCTACAGCGCCAGGTCGGCTGCCGTGATGGAATGGAACGCAGTGGAGGGGAGCTAAGAATGAGATCTTGAAGTGCTGGAGGGGAAATAGAGAATGCATGGGAGGAGAGACAGAGAGGATCGCCCCCGGTCGTTGCATTATTAAGATTTTACACTCAGCCTGAACTCCAGTTGCAAAGTTCTTTCATATTACGTGGTGCTGTTCAGGTGCCTCCTGTGCGTTTTCTCTCATATCTGTGATGTGTTATTTATAATTCGTGCGTTGGTTTATGTGTTTCCGCATCATGGCGTTAGGAGTAGATCAAAACTGTGAAGTTTCTTCGCCAACCGAGCTGAAGAGCGAGAAAAAATCGACTGTGCGCGAGGGGAAGGCGATGGGTTCGCGGCGTATTTTTTCCGTTAAGTTCAAACTTCAAGTGCTAGATTCATTTCATAAGGATGCCGATTGCCAAGGGAATCAAAGGGCAACGGCCCGAAAGTACGGAATTCATCGTCGACAAGTGCAAAAGTGGCTCCAAATGGAGAATAGTCTTCGTTCGACAGCTCAAAGCACTGTTATCTGTGACGGGATTAATAGCGGAGGGACGCAGGCAGTGGCCTTGAACCTGTGTCCGTCCAGACAGCGCGACGCCAGCTCCGTCGCCTCGACTCTGTCCAATACGAAAGACTCCTCGGCGCCCGGCTTCTGCTCCGGCCCCGCGTCCACCAGCTCGAACGCCTCCACGTCCGCCTCTTCTGATTCCGAGGGATACATTAATGTCGATGGTTTTTCCGACGACGAAGACGATCTCGACGATAGTTGTAGCAGCATTTCTTCCACCTCGGTCTCGGACAAAGCCCTCGACTTCACTTGTGCTGCACTCAGTAAGCGAAAATTTTATTCAGTTGATTTTAAACTTCAGGTTCTTGACAGTTTCCATCATGATGAATCGTGTCATAAAAATCAACGAGCCACCGCTCGCAAATTCGGAGTCCACCATAGACAGATTCAGAAATGGCTCAACAAAGAACAGCTTCTTCGCAATGAGATCCTACTGCGATCAAACAGGAGAACTGTTCTAGGCAAACCTCAATTTTCCAAATGTACCTCTCCCGCTAGTGGATGTCTCGATCTGTCGAATCACAAGCGGTCAATTAGGTCCCGGTCAGTTGATGAGCCTGCACCCAAGCGAAAGCCGTTATTGAGTTGCTGCCGCCCTGAAGACCATAGTAATATTGTCTCTACAACAGGCACCAATGAAACGCTGCGTTTGATTAAAAGTGAGCCTCATATCCAAGCTTGCTCAACCCCGGAGGTCTCAAGCTCAGCTGATTTATACTGTCCTAGCTCAGTGTTTCCATACTCTGGTGTGGCCTTACGCTCAAGTTTTTCAATCATGAGTCCATCTGAGTATCCAACGTATGATCCAAATTCGTGGCCTTTCTATTACCCATCTGCAATGAGACAGCAACCAGAGAAGCCACTGCCTAGGCGGCCATCACCTCTAGATCTGAAAGTAGGGAGTGCTTGGCTCCCCGAGTTTCAATCGTATCTCCCTAATTTTCTCCCCAAATTGGATCTCCAGTCTTCGCCTCACCTAAAATATGCTGAATTTAGGCAGATTAGTGCAGATGGTTTCAAGTTATTCACTGCCTCTGCAACTAGTTATTCCATGTTTAGCTGAAATGTTTTTGTTTTAAGTTAAAATAACATTGTGACTTTTTTTTTATCTTTTTTAAGCCAACAAATTTTGGAGGAATTACTTAAATTCTATACTTGGTATATGCTCCGACCTGACTTTAATTTTTTTTTTTTGCTGTCTTGGAATTGAGGAATACTTTGACAAAGGGCAGCAAGCATAGGGCCTAGTTTCTAGAAATACTTTTTCGAAAGTCTAAAACGTAGGTCTTCAAAACTCGGAAAAATGTTTTATAAACTCTGAAATCAGATTTTTGTGTTACATTTGAAAATCATTACCTCAGAGCCAAAATTTCAACTTTCTAGCAGGATAAATTTAATCGAGAAATGGCAAGTATCAAATGAGGATCTATATATCATTTTACCGGAAAACACCTTTTCTGCAGAATATATCCAAAGCTTGCTCCTTTTCTCACAAATATTTTACCCTTAACCATGTTCAAACTATCTTTTCCTTGACACGTCACATTGTAAGGATTAGAAATTTTGATTACCGCCAAAAGATAGTGAACTGCCGTAGAACACTTGATTATCGCCTGTTATTCATCAACAAGTGTCTCGGTTAAAAAGCCACAAACTTGGGATAGGTAATATTGAAAGGATTCAGAATATGTAGGTATCCTCTGTTACAAGAGCTTGAGCTGCCGTGTGCCTTTTTATCGAAATATTCCTCAATTTTCAATTCACATAAGTTTCTTCATATCTGCTCATGATATTTTATGCGAATGCTCATAAATATCACTGTAAATATTTCTATTATAATGAAGAATGACATTGTTGTGAATTTTGTTCAAGACGAACTGGTTCCCATATTCTTGCCTTTGCCAAGCGAGTAGAAAGTCAGTGAACTATGTTGGTGTCTGCAGACTGAATCTATTCTAAAATTTAATTTCTTCCTGTTTCCTGTTTCTCCTCAATCAGGTGCTGACTATATGAATTTGTCATATTGTACATATAAGTAATTATAATTTTATTTATTTTTTATTTAAGGCTGAGGCACTTAGCCGCAGCAGTATCTCTTTAAAACTCAATTTCAAGTTCCCCCAAACTTTCAAACTTCCACTGAGCCAGGCATTAAGTCTGCCCTCATTTTTTTTGACAGTTTTCCCTTTTTTCCATTGAACTGTTGATGATAATGATCATCAGGTTTCTTGTCCTGAAAGGAATTTTACTATTCAGATAATCATATGCTCCCTTAGGGATCAAGTTCCCTTCATAATGCAAAAAGAGTCTGTACGAAATTGCATCATATTGAATTATTCTCAGGAGTCGCCTCCGTTTCACTTTTTTTTTTTTTTTTTTTTTTTTTTTTTTTTTTTTTTTTTTTTTTTTAATACAAAACTTTTAACTGAACCGTCACCAATACACATTTCTTTTTTTTGATGTAATGCTGATGCATGATTTCACTATTCTGCGAAAAAAATTTTCTGTTTAAGAAGGAACATATCTTGACAATCTCTTCCTCTCCCTCTCCCTCCTTCTGGCATAAGCTTAAAAATTGTCTTATTATCAGAAAAAGGTAACAAAGGCAGCTTTATACTCCTAAAAAAATTAATAATTTAACGTAATAATTATAAATAAATACTCAGTAAAATGACAAAAGGGGCAATGACCCCTAAGAATCACTCTATTTTGCTCAACAGTAAGAAGTCTTCTCTCGCATTATGGCGCTGACTTCTCAGGGGGCTGGATAAAAATTCTAGAGTCAAATTTCTCCAAGGACATCCTGATGGATCGTATTTATCAACCGAACGAAAATGTAGTCAATTGTGTTCAAGGCTCATGCAATTGAAATTAAATTCGATTTTCTGTGAGTGAACCGTACTTTAAATTTGAATTTACTATCATAAAATCCAATTACTGAAATTCCTTGCACATTGGTTACAAGACTTAAAATCCATTTTCAATGTTATACTTGCCTTCAAAGGAATGCTTTATCTGATCATGAGCAAATGCTGAATGTATTAAACTGGATCTCCTAACAAATTTTTGCTGATGTCAATGTATTGATATTGTCTCCATCCGTGCACGTATTGATTCAAATTCACACATTTTTGTCAGCCTATCTAGTCAGTTTTGTAGCTTAAAAGAAAACTTACTTCCTCTTTAAAGAGAGCATTCATACAGAGAAGTGAGTATCTTGTTCTATAGAAATCAAGGCAGCTCCAAACATTCACTTTGACAGGCAACATATTCTAATTGACCCATTGTCTCTAAACATTTAATATTGAGCATAATTCCCTCCCTCTTTTTTACCATGTACCTATGAAGAACTTATCATTGATGTTTCAGAACAAAAATTCTTGTTAAAAAATTTTAATTGCTATAAAGATAGAGTAATTTTTACTCCGTGATTCGATTGTCCATTTTCATAATTTATGTCTCTTCAATTTTTGTCACTACCATATGCTGCTGAATAGAGCTGTCTGAAAGCTGAAGCATCTTAGGGTCTTACTTCTAGAATTTTTGTGTGAAGCATTTTTGCGTTTTTGACATGATCGCAGGCATGTATAAAGCAACATCTGTAAACTCAAATTGTATTACTTGTTATTTTTTTATTTATTGAAGAGCTAAGATGTACAGACAGCTTTATCTTGAATCAGCTTAATTGTATTACATGACTCATATTACAATAATAGAGAAAACATCAATCTGCCTTGAAATTTTAAAGGCATCATGCTGTGCAGATTTGGTTGTAAGAAAGAACTAGTGGTCTGATTATTGAAATTGACATACAAAGGATAAATGGAGAGATCCTGTCAGTTAAAATGGGTGGTTCTCATAGAACAAGGAGGAAAATGATGGACCAACTATGGAGTGTCTCAAGGGTTGCTGCTCGTTAGTCTATTACTTACCTCTTTTGTCCATTGCTACCACCCGCTTCCACCAAAAGGATTGCTTCATTTTCTCTTTGTCTATTGCTTTGTTTATCAATGTCAATAATCAATACGCATGAGAGGAAAATGCGCAACATGACTTGAAGCCAGGCTGATTCTCCTCATATCAGTAATCGGTCTGAGTCATGCACTTAAATCTACTAAGTTCATCTTAAATGCTAACACTTTTACTTCCATGTGTGAGTGCCAATTTCGGGCAAAACGTTTTTATACCTACCAACGATTAAGCTGCCTGAAAGATTTATTCCTGGAACCCTTTAAATTCTTTGTGGTCTTTTTTTCTGAATAAAAATCATTGATTATAAAGTGCCTTCAGTTGAGATTGATTTTTGGTTCAAGTTTTAATTTTATTTTAATTTTTTGTGCCTTAATCAAGTGTTAAGATATTATCTTATTTGTAATGACATACTTGTATTTAAACGATGTACCAGCTGAATGAAATTAAGGGGCACTCATATCAATTCCCTAACACCTTTACAATACACCTACATTTTTGTTGTATCCCTCATAAGATAGAGCAGATTTCTCAAGTTATTTCCCTCATTGTTAATGATTGCAAATTCGTAATACATATTCTCATCTATCGCCGCCTACAGTATGTATCAGCTAACTATTGTTTTGAGTTTTTCAATGTTGTAGTTAAGTTTGAAATATTTTTGTATTCTAACTGAGTTTTAGTTGTCTTCCATTCGCGAGAGTTTGCCTAACAATGACTGACATTTTTATTTCTGAAGAGCATAAACTTTCCTTTTGTTTGTAAAAGCTAGCCTTTTTCTTTGAATTCTTCTTTTTGTTTTTTTTTCACTAACGAAAATTTCCAGTGCCTGAAATTGAAAGTTTGCTGTATGTGTCACTTTCTACTCTCAGTCAACATCTGGAATATTTACGAATACATAAGGAATGTATGCATTGATATTTGATAGTTCTCGAACTGAGGCCTCTTTGAGAAAGGAAATTACATAACAATGCCTAGGCTTCTGTCAATTCCTACTTAGGGTAAATGGTATTGGTTCTATTCATAGTTATTTCTCAGACATTGAGGCCTCCTAACCAACGTAATTCTCAAGGTCTAAGTAGGTGTTGAATTTTTACAAAGGACGAGGAATATGTCCCTTAAAGTGGCTCTGCATTGTAAGTGAGCGAAACACTCTTTCCATAAGCAAGTTATAATCGTTCAAATTTTTGTTAGAATAATAGTTTTGCTTTTGAATTCCAGCCAAAAAAGCAAAGACATAAAGTAGGAGCACATTTTAGCATTTATCTTAGCTGAATTCTTCTGAAACCTCTGAACCAAGACTGAGATCCTAAGGTTGATCACAAAGATCTCCATTCCATATGATAAATCAAATGCAGTACTCTGTGTTTTGCTGCACTTACAATTAGCCTCACTGTAAAGGTTTCACAAGAGATTTTCTGGAAATAGATAATTGGAATGTAATTCTACATTTGATTGATTTCATGTCTAAAACGGGAAACTTGTATTTTAAGAAAATTGTGTTTACTTGCTTCACAGAATCACCTCAACATATTCTTACACTTTGTTGTATCTCAATTTTTTTTTTTTTTTATTGTGCGGACACAAACTTTGATCCTATACTCAATTCACTACAAACATTATGGCTGCAATAGCTCGACAGCATTGGAATGTTCTTCCAAAAAAATGCTACAAAAAAAAGTAGCTGAATGTGCTTAATGCTCTAAAATGCTACATCCAGTGCAAGTAATTCTGTATTCAGATCTAGATCATAGTTGAATCCTCTGCTCTGTTAACCGAAAAGTAGGACTATGAACCAAGGCCAGGCTAACTTTCTTCACATTGTTATATCAACCTTAGTATTACATTGGTAATAGTAATGTTTGCTTTAAGATCATATAAAATTGAAATATTTTATATCCTCTATCAAATTTTATTTTTGCAGCAAAAAAATTCTAAGCAATAATATTACTTCAATGCCTAACTGTCGCATTAGACAATGTGCGCATGATTTTATGTTGATTTTTTTCATTACGAATTCATCGAACCCTAAGTTCTCCAGGGTTGAATAAATCCTCAGTCTGCAAATTTTGAACTCTGAGGGTTGCTGTTGTAGGTAGATGTTTTATTTTTCAAGTACTACCTTTTATAATTCTCTAGGTCAATTTGCAATTGGAAACTCTGAATTCAAAACTCTGGTTTCTGTCTGTGGCCATTACTTCTAATTTTCGTTAGATGTAGACTAATTTATATTTCAAATGGATCCTTCCCTTGGGATTCCTTTCCATTTATATTCAGTATTTTTCTTATTATTATTCTTCGCATGTTTCCTCCGATGCCAGCCTTGATTAATTCTAAAATGTTTATCGGCAGATTCCTTTACTTTTCAGCTCTTGAATATTTGAAAACTTGTCAATATTCCTGTATTTTTACTCTCCAGCATTTATTTTAAATGTCTTAATTTTAGTCAAAATCTGAGAATAGGTACTTGGAAACTGAGGCGAGTGACCTAGAAAATTTTCTTCCTTCCAAGAAACCTAACAGAAAGATGACATGGTTTGTCTTAGCAGAATTTTTTTATTTCTTTTTAGTTTATTTTCCGAAGGAAATGCGCTATCTCCCTCTTCATTCTTCTTTTTTCATTCTGACAGTACTTCAAGGATACATTAAATAGTGCTAATGTGTTAATATTCAAAACATAAAAGTTAGCAATGTACAGAAAATACAATGATTGTGAGTTTACTTTAGTCGTAACGCAATAAATTAGGAATTGCCATCCCTTCTGACTAACACAATCCACTGGCAAATTCTGAAAAATAAACTTTTCATTTAAACAAATTCATTTTCTCCTTTCATTAATTTTAGCGTTTAGTCATTTTTTTAAGACTAGAGAGTCTTAACTCGTTCGACTGATTTGCTCTCATAGAACAGATATTTGGGCAATGTGAAGAAGTACTGTCAGTCCCATCATTTCCCCTTTTTATGGACTGACTTTTAATTTTTAGTAAGTAGTATTGTTCCATGTATAAGTTCCATCTGTACAGATAATTACAGATTCAAAAGAAAGACAATATATATTTATTTTGTACATTTTTTGTAGAAATCCTTTTCTTTTCATTTTTTCTCCAAAGTAAAGATTGTTTAATTTTCTTGAAGACGAAATTCTACATTTATTCATTTTGTTATCAGTGTGTACCATACAAAATTTAATTTATATTTTAACAACTTGTTTAAAGAAAAAAAAGTTAATTACCACATTAAATTGTTACTTCATAAATCGCTTGTTCTATTTTAAACCTGTCAAATTGCAAAGCCTATTAGTCAGTGTTGTTTTTGAATGGTATTGCAGACAAGTCCAAGTGTTAGGATTTTCTATTCTGCATTAGAGCACCTGACAAAGCAAGAATTTGAGCACTACATCATACGTTTTCTCATCAAAATTTAATTACTTTTAAAATAAAAACAATCAACATGAAAGAGAGAGATTAGCATAAATTGTTCATTCTAGAGTCAGAGAATTCGCATTTACTGCTCGCACCAAAAACCAAAATCAATAGATGTCAAAGCGGTCATTTAAAACAAACTCATCCATCTGCAAATAATTACTTTTCTTTCACAAACTTTATTCCCCCTTCTACTCATCATACCTGGTTTTTGACCTTTTAACAAAATCAAGCACCTCGAAAATATTATTTTATTGGCTAACATACTAAAATGAGTAGAATTCCGAATTCGACTTCACTAGATTTCGGTTTCCGCGGTGAGCAGCTAGTTTGAATGGACTGAATAGAAAACGCTGATTCCTTAAGTAGAATATAAAATTGGAAATTGTCAATGTATTCATTATGATACACAGCACTGTACGTGTAATTTTTATGAGGAAACACTCACTGTAATGCTTGATATCAGACTAGGTCTAGTAGTTCATAGAGTTCAGTGTAGACTTTCTGCAACGATATAATTAACAAGTTTTTGCGATTCCTACTCGCAGCATTACATGACGACGTTGAAACTCCCCAACTGCGTACCTTAGTTTGCTATGTTTAAGACTTCCTTTCATACTTTTATTCTTCTAATAGAAAAACAACTCAACATCAATGCTTAGCACTTCCATGATTTTCCTTCTCTGTGCAAGAAAAATTCTGAGAAAACTTCAAGGAATTCTGCTGATTTGCTCTCCTCATCAAAAATAAAATAGGAGCAGAGAATTTAAAACACCATACATGAAGTACGTGGTTTAGGAGTTTCACCGTTGATAAGTTACCAAAAGCAGCCAATATGAGCCTTTAAGAGGGGAGAAAATGAAGCAACTGTGCCTCAGTTTAGAGGAATCGATTCTGCACCAATTGGCTCAAAGAGTAAGAGTACCCAAATCACACTTTGGCAGCGATTCAAATTTTCAGAATGAAAAACAAGGAATTTGAGAAAACCACTGATAGTTTGCCAGCACTGCTCCCAATCTTGGAAACAAATTATTTCAAAAGCTTATTACAACAGTAATAATGTAGATTGTGGCTTGAAACTCTGGCCCGAAGTTTTTGAGAGTGAGAGAACATTCAGCACTGAAAACTTGCGGTAGACATTTCTCATCTCAAGTTCTGTTTTTTACTATGCTGAACGGTTTGAGTTTCAACTTCAAGGCACATTTTGTCGCACTCCATCACGCTTAATAAGAACAGCATGAAAAGCAATCTCATGGAACATGAATGTATGAGAAATTTATTAGAGTAACAAGATGGTAGAATAGTGCTGAGTCTGCTTTATTCTGAGGGGAAATTAAAATCAGAAATGACAAAAATTAGATCAACAACTGTACAGCGAAAGTACCAAATGAACTCTAATGAGATACGGTGAGAGACAAATGGCCAGAGTATTCAATTTGTTTTTATACGTGCACAGTGATCCAACAGTCTGGACCCTCTCCTGTGAACTTTTGACCAGTTGCATTTAAAGAAATTTGAAATTTCAGGAATATTCCTCCATCAATAATAGCTACTTTATACCATACTCAAAATTTTAAGAGGTTCACAAGGAGGAGCCCCAGCTATATTGGGCCTGAAAACTTCTTTTCAAAAATCAAAACTTTGTAGTGGGCTTGTTAAGAAACATCAGTTTGAAGCCTACAAAAAGAGTTTTTCTTAAAAGGAAAAGAGAGACGTCTAGGAGGACGCAACCCGACAAAATGTCGGGTTGCGTCCTCAGTTTTGTGGAAAATTAACTGTTTTGATTCATGCGTTTTCTGTTGATTTGATCATACTTTTCAAGCAAGATAGAGATTGACCCGAGCCGCCATTTGCAAAGTCAAACTAGTTTGACTGGGAAAAGTTTAACTAAATGTTGCGCTATCGTGAACATAAGTACCCCTCTATCTGGGCCAAGTTAAAAACTCAATGCCTCTTGCATTAGTTTAACATTCAGCAGATCGGTCAAGTTGACCTAGTGGTCAGCGTGTCTGACTCTAGACCGATAGGTTCTGGGTTCAAATCCCCGTGGCGGCGAAAAATTTTCAGGGAACTGACGAGTAGATCTACAGAGTCAGACTCCACTCGGCCTCGATCTCTGAAAATGTGAAAGTCTGGAGCATGGATGCGTACTAACCCTGACCCTCGAAGTGAGGTGGCTGTCAGTTTAGCAACTAAAGCCAAAAGTTAACTCGAACTTGAGAGTGCTTCAAGTTCTTAATAAAAAAAAAAAAAATTCGGTAATTTAGGCACCTCAGGTGTGGTTGATAGGTGATACAAGGCTCAGAATCTACCAAAACCTATGTATGACCTGGAATAATTTTAAGCGCAAGAGGTCTAATTTTGGCCATTCTGTTATCATTTTAAACCTTCCAGCTAAATAGTCAGTTATGAAGTGAGAGGAATTTAGCACCCCTGAACAACTGAATTAAGTTTAGTTAGATACCTTACAACAGCAAGATTTCTGAGACCAATCAAACTTCTTATCCTAGCTATACAATTGATACAATTGAATAACGAAAAATTTAAAATTTAACAAGCCTAAAAACAAGTTTAAAGAATTTGTTACAAGGAATCAAAAAATATATCGGTCATTACATTCTCATTTGGAATTTGCCAGCTTTTGTAATGTATTTGACTCCTTTGAACGGTTTATACTTCTCGCCATACATGTCCAAACGATTAACTTTTAAACCAGAGACAGCTAGCTGATTTAACGTAAATTTGACCTGAAAAATAAACATAATTATTAATGGGACATGTCCAAATACGACGTTTCAAAAAATACTCAATTAAGGGTCTCCTGACTTAAGAAGAAATTAGAGACTCTGGACCAACCAGGTTGCCAGCGACTAGACAAAAATTGCAAGGACATGATTTTGAGAATGCACAATGAGGACGATGCAAATTGAGCATCAAAGAGTGGATTGCAGACATTTCAGATATGCTCCGTATGATTTTCTTGTGATTTACATTCAAGCAAGTTTACTCAATTAGCCATACCTCTCAAATGCAACAGACTGCAAGTGCGGTGTGAAAGATTTATGTTCTCAGTGATACTGAACCTACAGGGTGGGATTATTCCAACTGGAAGTACACATAATTTCAGACAATGTAGTACATGCCTACATATTAAAGGCCCAAAAGAGAATGAAACTTACATTGACAGTTGGGTTCCCTTCTGTGATGGTGGCTCCTGACTGAAGAATGATCTGTAACAAAAGTTAATTACGTACTTAAGAAAACTGTATGTGTTAAAATTCACAGATACAATTTTGTGGAAAATATTCGTGCGTAGCCCATCAGTAAAGGCAGGAGAAACATGGACCTCACCGCAGCAAGTTAAATAAGTATTTAAAATTAAATAAGAAAGGATTTTCCAGATAGTTATGGTGACTGTATTCCAATATCTAAATTTTAAGCCGAGGGATTATGCATTCAATATCAAGAAATTCGGCACTGGCTGATTTCGAGATTTTTTTAAACTATGTTCCTTACGATCACCTGAGTAAGATGGCCTTTAAATTCGAACTTTCTATGTGACAATCCGGAAAAAATCTGATCTGAAACGTGTATTTTTCGACAATTGAACATATACTATCACATAGAGAAGTGTCAACATTGCTGAGTCTAAGATGCGGAGCTTTTTGTTTTTAACAGAGAGAAATTATGTGAATTGTATGTTATGGAGTTAATTGCAGACATTTTCAAAGTGAAAATCATGATGTACATGGAGTCAAGCCACTTTGCAAGAATATTTACTTATCTGTATCTCTTAGGCCTTGTCTCCACAAGACGTTTCATGGGATTTGTCCCAGGGAAAAATCTCACTTGCCGAGTTGGGAAATAAATATTTTTCCCAATACCAAGTAGGGTCCTTGCACCCCTAGGACCAACTGAGAGAGGAGGAAAAAGTGAAAATAAATAATAAGATATTTTGTTGTTGGTTACTCCACTGTTCAAGTTTGTTTAGTTAAAATGTTGTGTGTAAATGTCAATCGGTTTCAAATATTATTTTAATCCCGGTTATGCACTCGATTTTTACTAACTTATCATCCTGCGTAAACTTATTGCAGGGCCGTATGAACCCTATTCTGTGGAAACGGTAACTGGGAAAAATCCCAGAAGTTTTGATTCTGCGATTCAAACTTGGGACAAATCCCATGAAAATGTTCCGTGGAGACAAGGCCTTATACATAACAGACCCATCCAATCTTCAATGAGTTTGTTTAATAATGTTTAATTTCTGAAAACTAGAGAGAGCACACAGTTCACAGGGATTTTCTCCAATTCATTTGAACGATATTAACCCTCGAAAAACGAGCTCAAGGTTGCATAATTTGAGCTCCCATTTAAATGCGCATCAGCGGGTTACTAAAAGAGGCCGTGGTGAAGGCCCGTCTGAGAATGGCCACACTCATTGAGTTGCCTCTGTCGCGTCCTATAGCCCACACAAGGAATACAGGACATCGCATGCAGATTACATTTTTAGTTACCTACTGATGCGCTTTTAAACAAGAGCTCAAAATATGCAACTTTGAGCTCGTTTTTTGTGGGTTAATATCGTTCCAAAAATCGAGGAAAATTCCTGTGAACTATGCGCACTCTCTAGTTTTCAGAAATGCACGAATTAGACATTACTAAACAAGCTCATTACACTGGAGGAAACAGGAACTGGATGTAGGAGGAAACAGTAAGGGATAGTGATGGCGAATAAAACAATGGACGATTCTTTGTTTTTAAGTAGATACTTGATAATAGGTTTTTCATGAAATGCAGTTAAGCTGATTTTTAATTAAAAAAATTTATTGCTAGCTCTCAGGAACTAGTAAAATTAAGTTTTTACTTCATTTTCCTTTCACACAGGTGATATTGGTAGAAATTTTACGCACAAAGAGCAAACTACCAAAGATAATGAAACATACGAAGAAAGTGAAGAAATTTACTCACCGATCCTTTAAGATTTGGATATTTAGATACTTCAATACGACCAACCTCCCAGTTAAGAATTTTGCTAACAGGATCAAAAGAATATTTTCCTTGGCTGGCAGTTAAAGTACAATTGAGAACAGCTTTGGGCATGGGAATTTCTAAGACAACGTTTTCCAGCTGAAAAGGACCGGGAGAGAATGCATTAAAAATATTAATAACTCAGAGTCAATCATAATTACACAGGAAAATTAACGACTTTTGCTTGTTGCACACCAGAGTTCAGAATTTGTTCCAATGTTAAAACTGGGCACGTTTTTGGGCCTCAAAAATTGACGGACAATTTCAGAAAATTAGCATAACACTTTATGCCATCCTCTAATTGTAAGTTGGTAGATACTCATCAATTTCAGAATGTGAACTTCAAAACCAATACACTTGATTATAGAGGATGTCCTCTAAAATCCATTGATAGGACTCATCATTCCTGGTCAGTGAGACTTAATAATAGGACTCCAAGTTTCAATTCACCTCAAAAAAGAAAAAAAAAATGGATACAAAAAAAACAAGCTGCCACGAGTCAATCCAAAAGAGATTGAAATATAATGACATGTACATTTGATTCTATAATTTTTTCCCATCATAAGTAGGACTGTCGACAGGACCTCAGTTTCAGGCAGTAAAATTTTAGGTAGAGCAATTTCTGTCGCATTGAGTTTAAAAATCGGATTATCAAACTGCAACAAATAACTCTTCCTTGCAAGGTTGCTGGATAAAATAAGGGCTGTTTTATATGGGCATGGGACAAGGTGGAGAAATAGTGCTGGGTCCACACCATTTCGCGAGGAAAACAAAGCCAAGAAGTTCTAAAAATTAAAATTAGAGTCAAAAATTAATTTTTTGAACTCTGATGCTTCGAGTTCAAAAAATTAATTTTTGACTCTAATTTTAATTTTTGGTACTTCTTGGCTTTGTTTTCCCCGCAAAATGGTGTGGACCCAGCACTATTTTTCCACCTTGTTACATACAGTTCGGGCCACTTCTTAGTGTTTTTTTTTTTCTTAATTTATGGGCATGGATTTGTACTGTTAAAACATGTTACAAACTACGAAGATTATGCCTTGAGGAGAGGATTGTAGACTTTCTTGATGTGCAGATCGTGATTTTCGTGCAATCTCATGTGCTTGAAGTCTATTCACTTGGCTGTGCCTGTTGTGTTCAGCAAATCCATTGACATTTTCAGATGTTTTTTGTCCCTCATGTTTGTAGAGCACTCCTCTATGCTCTGGTATTAAGTAAAATCATAAAATATATTAAATTGATCATTTTGCAGATTGGAGAATTCGGTTGATTTTGTAATCATGGATTGACATCATGAGTCATTTCTTATTGAAAAAATTTACAGAAAGTAAAATACCGTTCGACCAGAGGTGTGCCTAGCTCCAACAGTGATGTCTAACTTTCCTCCGACAACATCTTTGAATGTAATGGAAAAATGGCTATAAAATGGAATGAAGACATTGCTTTGTGGTCCAAAATGATAAGACATGAGCCGAAAGTTTCCGTCTGGGGGTACAAAAGATAATATTCTGTCCGACTGAAAAAAAAGACACAATTTAGTTAAAGTTTCCTTTTTTCAATGAGCAATTGCTACTCTGAATGGACATGTAGGGACAAAAATGTAATCTAGTAAAGAGTCAGACACTTTCCACCTGAACAGATTCAATTCGAAATTACTCTAAGTGAACTAGTGATAACTATATACCCCTGCCACTTTTACTGTACTTCACCTTAGCAGTCAGAACTGGTACATGCTGATCATTTTTATTTCAAATTCCTCTTAAAATAACACAAATACCCACGAGTATCTGCAAAAAAACTAAGAGAACATGGTAACACCTGCAAGACTGCTAAAAATTGGGATCAAAGCTGCACATGGGATCCCATCATGATGAGTAATCATTTTAGGGGAAAAATAAGATGGCAAACAACTGCTTACGAAATTAATGAGAATGAATCAAGAAAATAGATGATCAACAATTTTCTGGAACATTGTTACGACTGATAATTCTTTGTCTTTGCATAGCTTAGTTTGTTGATGTCTGTTTGCACTTGGGCCCGATTGTTGAAATATCAGTTACTTTTCGCCACTGACTTCAGATCCTTATAATTTAAAATTTCATACCTGATTTGAGGAAGACAACTTACCTCCCACCGTTTATAACGAACACAGGGATGAAAACTGACGTCATCAAGAAGACGGGGATTAATGAAAGATAGCGTTAGATCTGGCATACCACTGAGCTTTATACTGCAGTCAATCTAGGATTAAAGAAAGTTGAAAATTAAAATGGAGTGAACAGAACTGAATCTTCTGTTATCTCCAGACTCCTGTCTTGGGTTTATTGATCTTTCATTCGAACACTCATGTATTTTTGTATTGGAGTTGTATCTTTATTTTAGAGATTAATTTGCAACCAAAAATTTAAAATTTTTGGAATGATGGTGATTTCCGTTTCTGTTTTTGATGTAATCTTTGAGCATATACTTATAGTAGTTCCTGGTGCTGGTCCTACTGAAACAAATGTTTTCTTCTTCAGGTGTCGTTGTCCTAGCATAGCCATAAATAGAATTTCTTTTGACCAAAAAACCCTTGAATAACATAATTAAAATGGCAACCGGGGAGTGGTTTAAAAGTTCAGGCTTCCATCCAACCAGCAAGCTTATTCAAAGGTTGTTATAGACCGGATTTTGACATGCAAAATAGAATAGCAAAAAGAACTTATCAATACTGTTAACTGAACCCTGCATTGAAGCATTAAACCTACTGATAAAGCAACTTTGAAGGCTATTGTTTCCAGAAAATTGCACACCTTAGCCAGCTGAGGTGTGCAATCCATTCAAAACGATAGCCTTCAAGGTTTAACCTGTATAATTTAGCCTTTATCCTTTGGGACTGAGGGGTGAAATTTTCTTACATAGCCTTGAATTTCAGCAAAGATTACTGAGCCTGATTTGTCAATGATGGCATCTATTTCCTCTACAACATCAAAGTATGCTTCATTGCTGGTGTACTTGACTCCTGTCCTCCTCCAAGGAACAACAGATAGTTGACCACTTGGTAAAGTTGCACTAACACTGAAAGAGAATAATTCACTATCAGTACTTTTACTTTACAATGGAAGAACTTTTCGATCAAAAAAAAAAAATAGTTTCACTAAATTTGAACTGAGGCAGTGACAAACTTTTAGTAAAGTTTCAGAGGTTCTTGAAATATATCCGTTTGAGAGAAAAAATCCTAAGCATAACAAACAAAGTTTCGTTAAATCGCAAGGAACAATGGAGGCCTTTGAAGAAAATTAAAGGGGCATGTATTTTAGTGAGGAGTTAAAGGGAAGGCATACAACTCCCCCAACCCTCTTCAACACAATTCTTGCTGAGAGTAGATTATTTAAAAAGAGGATGTCAGATTTCTTTGTACGAGTGCTGTAAATTTGCCCTGAAGAAATTATTTTTCACCGCTAAAAAAACATTGAAATTTGAGTAAAGCATCATTCCTGACTCCAGTAAAACAAAAGGAAAAATATTTTGACGATTTTAAGGTTTTAAAAGAAAACAATAGATTGTAAGGTTGAATGATGGATTGTAACAACAATAAATTGAAAGGAAACAATGATGGCCATCAAGAGTTTTTGCATAATTTGAGATCTAATACAAAAATATTGTTCAGAATCCCTTGGAATGCTACTGGTGTTTTGAAGACCCAAATCGTGCTATATTTTTCTGGATGTGAAGTCATCAGTTTAATCAAAATGTTCGACACACATTTGTGTCAACTTCACAATGTTAGTTAATGATGCAGATTGTAAGAGCACCCTCCCTCCCCACAGGACCCATTAGTTAAGGTCTACAACTAGTAAAGTGACTACGTCCAATGAATAACAGAGTCAAAGGGAGAAAATATAAATGAACATAAGACACTTTCAAATGATTGTGAGGTTTGAGCCCCATAATGGAAGGCCATAAACCCCAAAAATGTCAAATCAATCTATATACATTTGCACTCTCTATCAGATTGGAAACAGCCCAAGAATTCAAAATGGAAAAATGGGCAATGGACATTTCCACATGAGCGGATTCAAATTATGTGCCACTGCACAAGGAAAATGACCTGTTACAAAGATGGAAAATTCAAATGAGACATCGAAAAATTGGTATCTAAGGCTATTTTTCAAGAAAAATAAAACTTGATGGAATTTTATTGAACTCTTGTGAAATTTAACGGCAACGTTCAAGGGTGATCTAAGCCTGTTGGATGCATTACTAGGAAAGTTGGCGCAGTGTAACATCAATAGAAACACTCGCAAGTGTTGATTATCCAGCACAAATTTAGAGCTATGAGCGCCAGCTGTTACAGAAAACAATGAAAAAGGGTATAGCTAAGCATAGCACAATTTTTTGGGAAGATTTAGACTTACATGTGCATAATTTACTTCCTGGCCTTTACTGATACCCTTATTTCTTAAAGCATGAGTGATTTTCAGAAATTTTAAATACTACATCCATTGATGTCTTTGGGTAATGCTCAAAAATGCACCTCAACTTCTTGACGTAAGTTAGCTCCAGAAAATACTTACTTGGATTTCCCAGTAACAGTGTTGGCTATCGTCCTTAAAATATTTGGTGGTTTTATTAATTCCTTTAGTATATTACTTTCTGTTGCTAAAGGAAAACCATTATCCAACATTTCATCCAATAACTGGAACAGAGGAAAATCATAAAAAAAAACTATTTCAACACCCAGCTTAAGATAAAACAATATTACGTCAAATGCATTGAGCATTACAGATCTACCTTCATGTCAGTAATTTTTTGAAAGAACATTAAAAAGTTCTCAAAAGTCAAGCTCAAAAATATGCTTTGCAAACATTTTTACTTGTATCAGTACAGAAATGAAACTGTTAGGATTTGTTTGTTGATACTTCATACCTTGAAGTATCTTTTTTCAATCTGTCATGCTCAGAAATCAACAGGCCATTCTATGTCGAATCAGTCATGAATTTTCTCCACCTGGTTTCCTTCTTCTACTGGTTTTAATGGTATACTTGTAATGCTAACTAAGAAACTTACAGACGAAAATTTTTAGCCCTCTTCTTCCACCTTGGCAAAAAAAAACCGGAGATCAAACTTCCCCTGGGATCTCTAAGTGACAAAAATATTGTACCTGTTGCAGGGTAATCTAATTTTAGACTGATCGCAACCTGCGGGGGCCAATTTCATTGTGCCTGGCTTTGTTCCTATAAGTGATGTGATTTATCTGAACTATTTGTAAAGTTTATTTGAATTCATGATAGCTCATTCCAAAAAGCCTCGGCCAGATGGAATCAACTTGAGAAAAACTGGGCAAATTAAGAATTGACATTCAAACAAGATCTGCATTGCAAAAACTGGCAAAATGAACTTCTTGTCCATGTTGATAAGCAGGATTCTGTAGTGGTCTGGTTGAATGTTATCAGATGTCCTTTACTATTTTGGTTTAGGTAGACTGATGCATCTCTTGTTTATGTTTCTTTAAAAGAAAGCGTTGGATCCGATCAGTTCTGGTAGGAAAGGTTGGAGTTAAAGTTTTTATTATGTTAAGTTTCCCTGTACATAAATATGCTTAAAGAAGGGTTTCAATGTCCTTTTGCTGGTTTTTAACTCATCGAAAGTGTTTGGTGGCTAAATTTATAACAGCTTTTGGTTAGTCTTACTCTACAGTAAAAATTGGACACACCTAAAATAACCATTTTTCTAGTTACTTGGTGTGCTAAAACTTGTAAAAAAATATATGAGGGTTTTGCAGCAGCTACTTATATACAACAAATTTTCAAAACTTTCGATGATTTTCCATGGAACAACTACTCACATTCAGTAAGATATTTGTAGGATATTTTAGATATACTATCAGACATCTGACGGATATTGGATGTATATTCTACTGCTAGGTGGGACATTTCAGGGATCAGCAGAAAAATGCAACCCCGGATCTAATTCTATATTTCGCTCAGAATGAATGGGCCTGTTGCAAACTTTTGCTAGAGCAAAACTAAGAGTTGTTTCCTACAGATAATGCCTCAAAAATCACGATGAGCGCATCGGCAAAGTCTGAAATGCACTCATAACTTCACAATCTGCGTAAGAAATTTGCGGTTTTTTGAGCTTCCCGCTTCGAAAACGATACTACGGTACAGGTGAACATTTTGTTAGAGGAGTCGTTCCATTGGCGACAATACTCATCATGGCCGACGCCAGTCCGCCAAAACACGTGTGATGGGACGAGATAACACTTGAACAGGATTAAACCATATAACAATCGGCGTGTTTACGTTCATATTTTCCTCGCCCGCCTTAATTGACCTTGAACTCTCCTCGAATTACGCAAGGAACTGCGCAAGCGTCGGCCATGATGAATATTGCCGACGATGGAGCGACTCCTCTAACAAAATATTCACCTGTGCAGTAGTATCGTTTTTGAAGCGGGAAGCTCAAAATAACGCAAATTTCTTACGCAGATTGTGAAGTTATGAGTGCATTTCAGACTTTGCCGATGCGCTCATCGTGATTTTTGAGGCATTATCTATAGGAAACAACTCTTCATTCTGCTCTAGCAAAAGTTTGCAACAGGCCCATTCTTAAAATTATGGCCTATGAATATTCCTGTAAAAAGTTACAGAGATCAAATTACTTACTTCATACACGACGACATAGTTTTCTTTGACAATGGATTCGGTACACTCAGAGAAATAATCACAAAAAGTGTCTACAACACGGTGGAGAAATTCAATGACAAATAGTGGTGGAACTACAACAAAGGATAAAGAACATGTATTAGAAACAAGGATAAAATTAGAATTTCTCAAATGTTTCAGGGCAAAACATGGTGGGAGGAGCGCTTAACTCAGGCTCATGCATAATTGAATGGGGCCACAGTAAGGTCTTTCAAAAATTATCAAATCCTGGTAATGAATTCAATATCTTCTTAAGTTTAAAAAAGAGCCCCATTCAAAATGTCAAACCTAACGTAAAGTTTTTCTGGGGTCACAAACTGATCTTGAATATTATAATGGGAACTCCCAAACTGATTAATGAGTCATGAGTTGTCCCAGAATGGATTTTGCCCGCCCATTCTCAGAGTCTTGCAGAGGTCCATATTTTGACCAAACGACTACTAACGGTCATTTTTCAAAATTTCAGCAACCAAAAAAATTATTTTTTTACAAAAAAATCACATTCTTAATAAAAACTTGAGGAATCTTCAACTTCTAAAGAGAGTTATTCAAACCAAACCAAAAAAAACAAGGCAGCCGAAAGTTCCCAATTTTTCAATTCTCTCAATTTTAAATTGATAATGTGCTTCAACATCCAAAACTAAACTATATTTAAATGGTAGACACACAGTGGGAATTGAAAACTTAGTATTATGAATACATTGTTTGGTAACATAAATTACTGGACATATTTATAAGATAGGTGCATGGGATTTGCATGCATCATAAGTCCTCCTAGCATAAATGAAGCGTCCCGAATCAAAAGCGACAATCTCCGTTGCCCTGTCTAAAAATTGTGCGATCCTTGTAATTTTATTGTGAAAGAACGGGAAAACCTACATGTTTATGTTTTCTCGTGAATTTTCTGTTATTAAGCAAGAAAATGTGGCAAATTTCAAAAACAGCTGGATGTTTCGATCGTTCCTCACAGAAAATTAATATGATTGCACAATTTTTAGGCAGCAAAGGAGATTGCCGCTTTTGGAACTAGACACCTCAAATATGCCCAATTCTAAGTCCAGTTGATATCGGATACTGAACCGAAGTTCACACAATCTACAGTAGGAGGAACACTGTATGATCTCCACTTGTGGGACAACTTCACAATGAAAAAGACAAAAGGAAAAAGTGAATACCCTCCGTTGTGTTGACAGCCACAAAATACATGTTACAACGATAAATAGCAATGAGGTAATGGTGCGGAGTAGCGATTACAGGGGGGATGTCCTCAGGATTTGTTGCTTTCCTCTGCTGATCGAAGAAGTAGTCACAAACTGAACGTGAAATGACACTTTTCCAGTGTTTCTCCATGAACACATCCCTGAAACAAATGGGTAGACTCTCATTAATAACAGAATAGCAGGCTGATTATTGGGAGGGTAGACAGAACGATAGACAAAGGGAAAATTAAGTGCTCCTGTTGGTTGAACCGGGTAGTTGTTACAGATAAAGACTGAAAATGATGGACTAACTAACGCGTCTCTTATGGGTTGCCATTGGTTAATCTCTTACTTAACAGCAGTATATCACTTTAAATACATTAGGTGACAATACTGTTGGTGCAGGTATGTAACTTGGTCTACTGCAAATCAACAGTGTAAGTCGGCAATCACATGACTCGGTTTGCGATGTCACAGACTTTCTGTCGTACTTTATTTCTTAAACGAAAAAGCAATTCTTTAAAACTGCCATGATTTTTCTTCTCTGTGCAGAGGAAATTCTGCACAAACTTCAAGGAGTGATGTCAATTCGTTCTCCTTTAAAACAAAAAAAATAGAGGCGGAGATTTTCGGACACCGCAAACGAGTTAGTGATTGCCAACTCACTCCGGTGAAATAATAATCAAAAGAAAAGAATCGCCAACTTATCTGACATGAGTTCTACTACTGCTTGACGAGTACGCAGTTCATAGTAAGCCACGAATCCAGGATGCCATCTCTATCAAAAGCATGCTGGACGTCAAATAAGGCTCTTTCACAATACTCTACCTTCACCAGCACTGATAAGATTTCTTCCGCAATGCGATGGGCTTGTCCTACTTTAGAGTGTCCACTGCAAAACACTAACAGATGTTCTTGTGTACTTACATCCTGATGATTCTATCTGTGTTGTTACAACAAGACAAGATACAGCCCTAACTTAACCACACAATACATCATATTTTGATGTCTCATCATGCGGCTAATAAACAGCCAGCTGATGGTTTACTTAGAACGCAGGAGCCAAAAGATCAGTTTAAGTAAGCGATTGCCCTAAGTGTCATATTTTTAGAATGGCAATAGACATGAAATCCGAAAAATTAACCATACAAGGATACAATTTTACCTAAAACGATGAATAAAAGAAAGACGCTTCAAGTCTGTCTCAGAATGTAAGAAGCAATCGTGCTTAATGCAAAGCGACAAATGCAATACTCACCCAGATGAGTTTATCATGAATAAACTATGAATCATTTTCGAAAGATGATTTCGTTAAACTGGACAAGAAATTGTAAAAAATTAATTTCGAACTACATATCAATAGTGCCTATGGATAAAGCATTAAGTTTCGCACTCGTAGTCATAAAGCTTATGGCATGGAACGGCACGTAAACAACTATTGAAACAAGCGATAAGAGAGAAAAAGCAGAGGGTGACGGCGAGCGAAAGAATGTATATTTCTACACCATTGCAGGTAAATGCACATCCATCATAGAAAAACGTGACAAAGTTGGATCATGTTGGCTTAGAAGCAGAATCTACTCCTAGTTAAATCTCATTTCCATTGGCTGATGATAGGCCAATAAAGGCGGCCTCGTCATCACCTATATGACCACCGTCCATTCCATAGCCGCCGCGTCTGCTCTGCTCCATTCTGTCAGTGCTGCCGTTTCCCGGAACTAATTCCGAATTTCGGAACTTTTGAAGTTTCTCGGAATTTTTCCCGGAATCTTTATAATTCTCGGACTACCCCGGAATTTTTGCCTTTTTTCGGATTTTTCCCGGAATTTTTGCCTTTTTTCGGATTTTCCCCCGAAATTGTTGCCTTTTTTCGGATTTTTCCCGGAATTAAAGCCATTTTTAGGAATTTTTTATATTTTCATCGGAGGTATTGAGATTAAACTGGACATTTTCTCGCAATGATCATTCTGAAAATGGGGACTCTGTCTTTCAGAATTTTCTCGAGTGTCATATCCATTTTCCCGCGGTTTTCTACCAAACCTATAAACCTCAAGAAAGAAAATCAAAATATGAAAATAATGAAATGAACTGAACAACTGTTCACATCATGTTTTGGTGCTCGTTACTAAGTAGTTTTTTTTAATAAAAAGTTAATTTTCAGTGATTCCGTGTCTATTTTTGTCCAAGCCGTACTTATTTTTCTCCTTGTCCTTTTTCTATATTTGTTTGTTATTTTCATGTAAGAAAATAAATTATTAGAAAATTAAAGCCAATTTATGCATTAAAACCACAAAATTCCTTTCCTAAACGGATGTGTCAGTCGAGCTTCTATACTACACACTACACATCCATTGCAGTGACTCTGAAGAAAACAAGTTCAAAGCTGAAAATTTCAAAGGTTGACGTAGCATAAATGAAAAAAAAAAGTGCTCTGAAAATTTATTAAACAGCAAATATTTTGCTGCTGGGAAAACCTATGTTCCTAAAAAAGAAAAGCTTCAAGTAAATGGACTGATCCATTTAAACGTGTCATTTTTACATCTCTAACGTTTAATCTTCAATTTATATAAAATTAAAATAATTTGCAGAGTTTTCATTCCGAGGAGATGGTCAATTATGTCAATTATTAATTACAATTAATTCCCATTCCTTAATGCGGGCTTTTCAAATGATTTAACTGTTTTATAGGATAGCCGCCCCCTTAAAATCACTGTCAGGGCGTCATAATTACGTCCAAACCAGTTGAGAAACTGTTCATTTAATATTCATGACGCCCTGACAGTGATTTTAAGGGGCGGCCGTCTTATAAAACGGGTAAACTATTTGAAAAGCCCGCGTCAGGAACAGGAATTAATTCCAGGCCGATCTCGGAACTTTTTCCCGGAATATTTGAAAATAATCGGAATAAAATAGTTCCGAATCACGGAATCTTGGGCTGAGCGAGAACGGCAGCACTGCTCTGTTGTATTCTCTCTGTTCTGTGAAATACTGAAATTGCAAGCGTGCCGTTGTACTTCAGCCGTGCCGTGTCTTGAGCTCAGAAGCTTGCCGTGAAGTTCTTTAATTTATTTTCATTGCTATTGAAAAATGGCGAGAAAAGTGATACCAGAGGATCTTTCCCATGTGGAATTTGAAACCAGTGAAGATGTTGAAGTTATTTCAACTTTCGATTCCATGGGACTGAGGGAGGACCTGCTGAGAGGAATTTATGCTTACGGTGAGTGTGTATACACTTTTTGTATAAGTATTTCTCAATTACCCCACCCTGAAATAAAACACTTTTATGGGAGCTGAGATTTTTGCTACTTGTTACCAATAATTGATGTGCAAGTTAAGGTTTTATGATCAATAGAAGACCAGCGGAAAAAAGTGAGGTTAGAAATTCTGCAGCAATTTTGGTGCCAATCTTTAAAAGTCCTCTGCACAAGTTCTGGTCATCAAGCATCAAAATGTTAATGGAGTTATCATATCGAGCACTTTGATGGCTAAGTTTTTGTAGTGTTTATCTTCAAAATTGGCAGTTTTGAGCATAGAGTATGTAGAGTCGTAATGTGATCGGGAAAGCTGGGACCCCTTTTAAGCATTTTCCAGGTTCCGAATTCCATGACTTTTACGCGGTGCCGAGTCACTTTTTCGATACATAATCGATTGTGTGCGATACACAGGGACCTGGCCATCTGATGTAAACAAAGAGGATAGAAATTACTACGTATTCCACACCGCCATTTTGGATCGAACATTTACTGAAAAAGTGACCGAAGCTTGGCCCATACCAGGCTCGGAACTTGTCGTCCAGGACATGGTCCCAGCTCTCCCATTCACATTATGACTCGGAACGACGGAAAGGACGATTTATGACGAGGAAAAATGAGGGGCTTGGAAGATAAGGCGCTTAAGTGCATTGAGAAATATAACTTTGGAGCTTCGAATTTACACAGATCCTTATGGCGAGCAAAAAGTTCAAACAAACTTTTTGATGCTTAAAATTTGGAATTTGGGAGCAAAGAACTCCGCAACTTCCATATGGGAAATCCCCCCCCTCCCCCTGTCAAAGCTGATAAAACTTTGATATGTTGCTCGCTAGTCATTCCAATCGAAAGCTCTCACAGACCCAAAGAGATCCAGTGTGCAGTTTTTGAGATATTTGCTGCTATATGTGCATGAAGGGAGGTCCTGCCGGCCAGACTGTTGGGAGGTACTACTCGTACCCTTCCCCTCCAGTCCATGCCAGCCTCTCTCCGCTTCCTTGCCTACGATAGGGCAAAAGTTTAAAGCATTCATATGTGTCAACCTGCAAATTCTGGGGTAAATTTAAATGGAGTCAAACAACACTGACTGTTAGGCATTGGATAATCTAGTCTCCAAATGATTGCTAATCAATCTTTCAATTTAATTTATCAGCTTGCTGATTGCTGGTTAAGCACGTGTACCGTAGGTTTTCTTCTTCTTTCTCAATGACTCTTACTTACAGAATGAATTGTACTTAGATCATCTTCGGTTTCAGGATTCGAAAAACCCTCAGCCATTCAACAGCGTGCCATCAAGCCTATAGTCAAAGGTCGTGATGTAATTGCACAAGCCCAATCTGGTACTGGGAAAACAGCTACATTTTCCATTTCCATTTTGCAAGCTCTCGACACAACTCTCAGAGATACACAAGTCCTGTGTTTGTCACCTACCAGAGAACTTGCTGTCCAAATTCAAAAAGTAAGTTACCACGAATGGTTTTTGCCAGAGCCGCTTTGAAATTTCAACCTGGTTAGAGCAGTTCTTGCCCTCACTTGGAGGAAGTTTTTATTTTTAATTCACAGCATGCAAGTCACTTATGCCGTTTTTAAAACGAGCGTGTCATCCCCTTTTTAAAACAAGTGTGTCACCCCTTTTTTTGAAAGATAATCGCCAGTTAAGTCTGTTTTACAGTATAAGCTCCAGTTCTGTCCATTTTGCAGTATCAATAGTACTGCTAGTAAGCAGTTGATAATGAGACCGATTAAGGAGAGGTCTGGAAGAAAGGTCTATAAAACATGGGTGAGATTATTCCTCCAAACTGTCTAATCTGAACAAGTAGGTAACAATGGTCTCATGCTGATATGATTATCATATCTGTTCTTTTATAGGCACTTCTTGCTCTTGGAGACTACATGAATGTTCAAGTTCATGCTTGCATCGGAGGAACCAGTTTAGGAGAGGACTTGCGAAAATTGGACTATGGTCAACATGTCGTGTCTGGCACACCTGGTCGTGTGTTCGGTAATATCTTAATCTATTCTGTGACTATTACTGTGCCAAGAGTTGATCTGTTCAAGATACAAATCCGATGGTTGTAATTAGAATCAACTTGACTGCATTTTTCATTGCGTAGAGTTTTATTTTCTGTACCAAAGAATTGATACCTTACAATTGTCTGTAAAGGTCCCTTTTATCATGATGAGTATAACAAAATTTCAAGGCAGAATTTGGCTTACATGGAAACTGCACAAAGTTTCCACCTCAAATTTCGTTCATATTTTGCATAGAGGTTGATTGGGAAAACTTAAGGTAACTGTATTGTTTGTTGGTTGCCAATTACTGTCCTTTTTTAAGTATCAATTGTTTACCCTGAGCCTCTCATTAGCGAGCCAGTCATGCCATCTTCCTAAAAGCAAATCAATGCAAAAACAAATATACCCTGAAAGCATCAAAAGTGTGACTAGTAGACCATTTGGAATGGAACCAAGCAAAGATAAATTCATCATATAACCCTTGTATCAAAACTAGGTATCTGCTCCATGGCTATTGAACTCACCTACTGTTTTTTTTTTCTTTATCCAGATATGATTCGACGTAGAGTTTTACGAACTCGTTCAATAAAGATGCTTGTGTTAGACGAAGCTGATGAAATGCTGAACAAAGGATTCAAAGAACAAATATATGATGTGTACCGTTATTTACCTCCTGCCACCCAAGTGAGTAAATTACCATTAAGTGAAGCTTAAAATTCAAAATATCCAAACCAGGACTTATCATCTTTGTATCAAAAGAGAGCCAAGGTGACGAACACCACTAATCTTAAAATTTGGTGAATCATCTTTGCCACAATTCCACTTTAAACGTTGACATTCATGCAAGTACCAATTGAATCGTGACAATTCTATTTTTCCAGTCTGGTGTTTTTTGGGTTGATAATATTTTTCAAAGTTAGATGCAATCATGAAAGTGGTGCTAAAACCCATCTTAGGTCAATTTGAACAGAACAACAATGCTATTGATAAAAAAACACAGCAAGATTGAAGCCAGAGGATTCTCAGGCGCAGACCTAAAAAGCACAGCTCTGACCTGTAGTACTCTTTGGCATAGGGTCAAACTGGCTAACTGTGGTTTGAAATTGAAGTTGTTTTTAAATATGCGATGTCAACCTCAGATGTGTTGATATAATGATTCTAAAGCTGTCATTTAAAAAAATCATCAGTAAATTAGTATGTTGCTTTCCTAGACAGATTTAGCATATGAGCCAGAGAGCATTAGAATTCTTTTGATTTATTGCATTTTGCCTCATGATGACAAATTTTTACAATCAACCTCTTTCTGCAGCATGTCTCCTTGATTAGTTGAGCAATGTGGATCAAATCATATCGATTCAGCCCATGTGGCTGTGTTTGAAACCACAAGGCAATCATACAAGGATAGGAATAGAAAGTATTTGTTTACATTGACCTTAATTTTTATCTTAAGTTCATGATGCCCAAGAATGTTGTCCTTTGTCTTCATGAAATCTCATTCTCTCAGAACTGATTTCCCTAATCATCATTTCTGTCCTCAAAATGTATTACTTTTTTTTCTTACAGGTTGTTTTAATATCTGCTACTTTACCCCATGAAATTTTAGAAATGACCAGTAAATTTATGACTGACCCCATCCGAATTCTTGTAAAACGGTACGTATTTTCATATCATAGCTGATGTCTTGGCATTTTTAACCGTCCTACCGGTTCTTTCATCTTTGTTTGATATTTTGACTGTCTCACGGTGGATTCTCAGTATCTAATTATGGGTACTTATTGTTGGTCTGATGACCCTGGGAGCTTAAGAGATTGATAGGAAATCGACCCCCAAGGAATTTAAAGTTCTAATTTTCAGAGCCTTCTGCAGTTACACCAGGAATGAAAAGAGAACCTGGTTTTCATCTCCATTTTAATACTGTATTAACTTTGGTTTCTATAGCATCCCATAAGCCTCCAACATCGTCAGATCTAAAGTAAACAAGGAAAAATTTGGCACATGCGATCTGAGACCAAACTGATAGCCAAGTGCAAAAAATGCACCAAACGTGCAATGTGTGGGGAAAATGCTCTATATCGCACCCGCCCGAGTGCATGAAAATGTGGGAAAGCGCCAAAAAATTTGCTAGGAGGTACAATTATTAGGGGTCCAAAATTGAAAATCCAAGGAAACAAGAAGAAAAGGGTCCTCTCTTTTGAAATCTGAAGAAAGTTTTTTGTGAAGCTGGTGAGAAAAATGTGGAAAGTCGAAGGGCGGGTGTGTGAGAACAAAGCACTTCGAAAGACTTTGCACCCTTGCAGAAAACTCCTGGTGCTACCAGTTAATCTTACCAACATTTAAAAGAAAATAGCGGCAAATTTCGACTGTCATTCAGTGCAGGAATTTCCTAAAATATCTATGATTTTATTGCCATACCAATAAATTTTCTCAATATTTGATGATCCTTGCGGTTACCTTGGATTTTGAATGGAAACGGATCAACAGTACATTATAATTGTGATAAAAGGATCGTCTGTGTTCCTGTACAGTTCCAAGAATCTAAGACCTATGCCTATGTAACAAAGTTTGCTGTGATTCATGGTTAAGAAATCTTCCAATCTCTACTCATAAACTTTTCATCAAAAAAATTAGCTTGTAAATTTGCAATCCTGATGGATGATCAATTTACTGACTTCTCTCAGTTCTTCATCATCCCTCTCTCTCTCTATTATTTTCAGATGAGATTATTGTTTCCTTAGTGTATATTTTTACTTTCTGGCTACCCTTGGGTAGAGGAAGTATTGTCATCCTGCAAGGGGGGGGGGGAGTTGAAATTTCATCATTTGTAGACGTTTTAAGGTCCCAGGAGTCAAAATAACCATACTTGAAAAAATGTGTGTCTGTCTGTCTGGCGTCCCCCAAATCTGTCTACAGCGATATCTCAGAATTCATCTGTTCGATTTCATTCAAAATTTGCAGAGAAGACCATATCTACGGTCTCTTTATGCACGTCAAACGATTTTGGGGTACGCTAAAATTTTGGGGGGGCTAGGGGCCAAGGTCCACTTTTTTTTAACCAGAGAGACTGTATGAAGCATCAAGCATTTCAGATTGTTCTTTCCCATAACTTATGTGTGACAGCATTTCTCTTCCTGTTCAGTTTTTGCACTAATCATTAACAACATCATTTTTTCTAGTGATGAGTTGACTCTCGAAGGTATCAAACAGTTCTTTGTTGCTGTTGAAAGAGAAGAATGGAAATTTGACACACTTTGCGATTTATATGATACTTTGACCATCACTCAGGCTGTCATTTTCTGCAATACAAAACGGAAGGTATTTTACTTTTATGCTAAGTGTATTAACTGCTTTTTGACAGGTTTGATTGAATTTTAGCTTTAAGAGGTCTCTGAAAGGAAGTGGACCTCTAGAGAGGGTGCTAATTGAAGCATTATAATGTATATTTTCTCATAAATATTTCAGAAAGAACCCAATGTGTGCAACAAAATTTTCTGAAAGTAACTCCTAACAAAGATTCTAGCTTTTTTCAGTGCATAAATTCAAAGTTCCTTCCCATAAAAAAAACCATAATCTACTTGAGTTAAATCGCCTCCTTTAAGTCGCCGTAACAGTTCTGCGCTATTAACATATTTCAACCTCAATCTCAAAGGTTTGACTCACTTGATGCACAGTTTTTAGACTTCCAGCAACACATGGTGGGAAACACTGCGTAATTAGAAAGCCTGCTAAAATGGTTATAGTGCGTAATATGATGCATGCAGACTATATTTTCTTGTGAGTGGGGAATTCAAATTTTTTGTAACCAGTGCCAAATAAAACTGTTATTATCTTGGTTTGTTGTTAATTTTAGCAATTCAAAACAAACTATAAAAGTATGCAAATCCTATTCACATAAAGGACCAACGACAAATCTGATTCACGTCTGATGTCTCGATTTCACGGACCAATGACAAATCTGTTAATTTATCACTGTTTTTTTTTGTCTATTATTCATCAATGGGTTAGTTGCGCTGGTCACAGAATCGTGTTTTGATGTCTGATTCTTGTAGATTAGCTAAAAATAAGGTGCTTTAATTTAACTCCTTTTGCCAAGAACCTTTCGATCTTAGAACATTAATTCAGAATGTATTTTCTAGAAAATATTTTAAATTCAATGAAGGTAATTTTTTCAGTTCTTAACTTCCTTGCCCTTGTATCAGACTCTCTCTCTCTCCATATCTCCCTCATTGTGAGAAATACGTCACACAGCTCTAGATTCAGCCCTTTTGGCTATGTGCCTGATAAAATTTATGGATAGCCCCATTCTTGTTATTTACTCTTTGCATGAAAAAATTCCGAACTACGCCAATTTCCCAAGTCAATTATGAAGTAAGGAGTCAATGCTAGACCTTGGACATACCTTCATTTCGATTCTTGAGCAGTGTTAATGAGGAAGAACTTCTCTTTTTAATGTAGCTGGTGTTTACAATAGATTCACTCTGAAGCTTGAGGGAACTCACTTTTTTCTTTTTTTGTTGAACAGGTTGACTGGCTCACTGAGAAAATGCGAGAAGCAAATTTCACAGTAAATTCAATGCACGGAGACATGCCTCAAAAAGAAAGAGATACAATCATGAAAGACTTTAGGGCTGGCCAAAGGTATGTAAGCATGATCCAAGTGTCTGAACCCTTAATTATGACAATGTGCGACTCATAATTGACAATTATGACTTTTAGAGCTTTATTGAAACGGAATGTAATTTCGCTACCCAAGAAAACCAAAAAATTGGGTCTTTTGAACAATTTTTCAGAGATTTGTCTCCCACATCTATAAGGGCTTCACGGACCAATGACAAATCTGTTAATTTATCACTGTTTTTTTTTGTCTATTATTCATCAATGGGTTAGTTGCGCTGGTCACAGAATCGTGTTTTGATGTCTGATTCTTGTAGATTAGCTAAAAATAAGATCTGTCCAAACAGCAACTTCCTATGTTCAATATTACCAGAGATATTGCCCTTTGAAAAGTCGGGTTTTTTGAGTGATCCACTGCATCGGTGACTTCCTTGGTTTCTTCCTCTTTTGTACAATAAGTAATGCAGATCAAGCAACGCAAAACTCAATGCCATTAAACATTTACAAACTCAAGAAACAGACGGATTCGTGCTTCAAGGATCTTATCAGGAGATAACGCACTCAGCGCGAAGAGGTTAGATGGTCAGTCAGCTCACCACCGTTTGTTTATGTTTTGTATCTTTGAAGTTTCGCGTTGCACCCTCTGCATCATTGATCAAACAAAAGAGGAAGAAACCAAGGGTGTTACTACAGCGGTGGATGTCGTTAAAAACCCAACTTTTTAAAGCGCGATATCTCGGTTAATACTGAATGTCGGAAGTTGCTGTTTGGACAGATCTTACAGTAAAACCTCGCTAAGTCGGTTTTCATCGGGACCGAGGAAATTTACCGAGTTAAGCGGGTTACCGACTTACGCGGACTGCCACTTTTCCTGCCGCGCTTTTTCAAATTTCGCGCCCTAAATTGGACAAACGCAAACGTGCGTGTAGAGTGACTTGTAGGAGTGTTTAGGAGAGCCATTTGATCGAAGAAAATGGTACTAAAGAGTAAAATTTCATGAGATGCACTTGAAATTGCGTGTTGTAAGTGTCAGGGCATCATGAAGTCATCGGGTTA